TTCTCTGTAGATTATCAAGCTTCCTTTTTCGGCGTCTTTTCGTCACTATATGTAAACGTGTGCCGTGTTATATTTTGGAATCTTTGCGACAACTTGACTTGAACATTCAATAATTTATTCGCGCATTTTCAGTACGAAGATAGCTCCGACGATTGGCGAATATCGGGAGAAGGATGAACTGTACGATCCTTTTGAGCATCGCGATAAGCAGGATACGACCTCGTAAGTTGCGTTTTAGAATTATCGTCGTTGCCAGCGTATATTGTTCCTCATATCATTGGCGGGAAGCTATTTAATAATTTTTCCAAGTGTCTCCATACGATTGCAAACATCATCGCGAGTGTAAAAATTGCGTGTGTCTCTGATTTCACGGTGAACGAATACGATTCATTTTCCAAACGTTGCGTTTCCACAACTCGTGCTTTCATAACCCGCATTTTGTTTCTCGAATCTTGCAGTTGCTCTTCAACTTTCTTTAAACCAAGCTGTTCATGAGAAACCAAACTAAACGGTCATGTCCACGAAGCAGTACTGCAATCATTTCTGAGCCAGCGTTACAAACAAATTAGAAAAAGATACAACACAATCGGAAGCCCAATCGTCCAAGTTTTCACAACGACAGAGTCAACTTCGTCAACTTGACTTAACGCGTATTAATTGATCGATTCATCTCCACGCGCGTCACGGGGTCACTCGTGAGCGCGAATTGAGGCGTTCGCTTCACCATCGATCGTGGATTTAACCATCGATTCGCGTCTTCGTGGACGCTTCGTGCAGCTCTCGTAACACGTCACATTCCACACGTCGCGTTTCAGGGATCTGGGCGCCCTGGCGCATCTCCTGAAATCCTCCCTAGGGACCGGCATTCTAGCCATGCCGAACGCAGTGAGGAACGGCGGGCTGCTGTTCGGCGGAATCGGCACGATCATAATCAGCTTCATCTGCGCCCACTGCGTACATATTTTGGTGCGCACGTCCCACGTACTCTGCCGACGCACCAAGACGCCGAAGATGAATTACGCCGAGACGGCGTACGCGGCCTTCCTCTGCGGACCCAAGCGGGTCAGGCCGTGGGCTAACGCCAGCAAGATATTCGTCAACGCGGCGTTATGCGCGACCTACGTGGGTGGCGCGTGTGTCTACGTCGTGTTCATTGCCACGTCCATTCGGCAGGTACACCTTGCATAATTCATGACCGCGATATTTATCCTAATTGAGACGCCATGGCGCGTGTCGGTGGTACACTTTTGTCTCCCTCGACTGTGACCTCTTCCGCAAGGTCTCCCTAGCGAAACGACCAAGTTTCTCGCCCTACTTTAGAGAGAACGTTTTTATTATATTAATCTTGTCGCGATACTCGCTTTCGTTGTTTATGATATTAATGAATTTTGCGACACATTCGCTGTTGACGCTGGCGAGAGTGCGCGAAATATAAAAAGATATAATAAAGAGCGGGGAGAAAAATAGCTTGTCGATCGGGAATCGTGTCTCCGATAACCTTGCTCGCGTTCTTTCTTCGTGAAGAAGCGCGCGCGCATCGGTCTCTCCTTGCTCTCTCCCTTCGAAACTGTGCCGCGACGTCGCCCCGAGCCCTTCCATAAGGCCATGGCCGGGTCCTCCTTGTCAGCGCTTGTCGTTTTCTCTCCTCAGGTCGCGAGTTTCCACACCAGGACCAACATAGACATACGCATGTACATCCTCGCGCTGATCCCGGCACTGGTGCTGCTGGGTCAAGTGCGCAATCTCAAGTACATGGTGCCGTTCTCGATGTTGGCCAACATGTGCATGATGAGCGGCTTCGCGATCACGCTGTACTACGTCTTCAGCAACGTCCAGCCGATCAGCAGCGTCAAGCTATTCTCCTCGGCGGAGCAGCTGCCACGTTTCTTCGCGACTGTGATATTCGCCATCGAAGGTATCGGCGTTGTAAGTTCCACGTTGCCAATGCACTTACGCGCCGCACGTTCTCTCTATCCTCGTTCCTACCCTGTTTGTATTTTCTTCCACCTCAACTTCCCTCTGACGTGCTTTCCAAGTTGTCGCCAACCTAAACTTAAACCTTGCACGCCAACCTCGCCAACCGCAGGTGATGCCCGTGGAGAACAACATGCGGAACCCGCAGCACTTCTTGGGCTGTCCTAGTGTGCTCAACATCACCATGTCGATCGTGGGATGCCTGTACGCCGTGTTGGGAGTGTTCGGCTACCTCAGCTACGGGGAGAAGACGGAAGCCAGCGTCACGTTGAACTTACCCACGGATCAGCCGTAAGTAGATGGTCTCTCCTTCGCCGGGAATAGCGGCGGACTTGATAGCACAACTTGATGGCACAACCTAAGCAGGCATCTAAGCAGGGCTTAGATTTTTACTGAGCACTAGGATCTTTTGGTCACGCGTTCTTACGTCAACGTATTCATATACATGATGACCGCTGATTATTCAAGAGAACGGCAACGAGATGCCTCGATTGTTATTCGAAAGCGGATTCTACAACATAAGACGTGAAATCATATGTTGAGAAGGCCAGTAGCATTTGACGAATCACAAGCGTGCAGGCACGATACCGTGTAACCGAGAAATCCTAGTTGATCCTATGCCTGACGAATGTTAAGACCACCATGCTAGTTGCGTACATCGGTCATGACGCGGTAGACTGACGGAGAACAATGTTTCAGTCTGGGCGAGTCGGTGAAGATCCTCATTGCCGTGGCCGTGCTCTTCACTTACGGGCTGCAGTTCTTCGTGCCGCTCGAGATCATGGCTAATGCCATAAAGCCCATGATCAGCCACAAGTACCAGCCCATAAGCGAGACAATAATGAGGATATGCATGGTCATGTTAACAGGTAAAACGCCCTCTCATCCATGCACCAAGGCGCCCTACGTAGAGCAGAAGCTTCTAAAAGGCGATTGGAACAGGGAGAGGACTAGATGGAAAATAGACTAAAGTGAAGAGAGAAGTAGGACATTTTCAAACGTTTTTCAGACACGGACACGGAGAAATGTCCGCTACCTCAAGTTATTCTCCGCCCTTTTCGATCGAGTTGCAGAACAGCGTGCGTTTCAGTCGTGCCGTCGCGCTCAGCGAGAGCCAAGCACTGCTCTCCTCCAACCTTTCCCGATTGCGCTTTTTCAGCGTGACCTTTAGCTTCAGCTCCTCTCCATCGTCGCGCACGGCAGTAACGGAAGTCGCGAGGTCTTCCATTGCTCCTCTCTTCTTTCTACCGACGTTATGCGAACGGCATCGCGAACGAATGCACGATTGGCGAGACGGAGAAACCGCTATTAAACGATCATGATGAATCACGCGCCGGTAGGAGGTCGGTCGGAGACCCGACGCGAGCCGATTGAACGGTGTCACCCACTTACTCCGCGGGCGTATACGTGTGAAGCGCCTTTTTATTACCGAATGCACACCGGGAAAGAAAGGAATCGCCTGGCGTGTCTGTCTACGTCCCGCGGCTCGGGTCAGTTCTTTCGCTCGGTACAATGGCTACGGCCCAGTTAAAGCCGCTTGAAGTCCGATTGAATTTCTAGTGATTATTTCGTTCGTACGAGCAAACATCCTCCGGCCATTGCGTTTGCTACTCGAGGACGACTCGCGTTTGCTGCTCGACAGCTCTCGTAGGTAGCGGTGAATACACACACACACACACACACACACACACACACACTTCTCTCTTCTCAAATTTCTACAATGTTTCGCAAAAGTTTCTCCTCAAGTACTTCGCGCGCTTTACGTATCTTCCTTATCTCCCGCTTCTCCTCCTCACCGTTACGACCATAATTTTCTATTCGGCCGGAAGATTTATACGCACCACTGTATCTTTTGTAGTGATCATTGCGCTGCTGGTACCCGACTTGGACCCGTTTATCTCTCTAGTCGGCGCAGTATTCTTCTCCGTCCTAGGCATCAGTATTCCAGCCATCGTCGAGACCGTCTCGTGCTGGGAGAGCCATTTGGGCACGTTGAAGTGGCGACTATGGAAGAACTGCTTGCTAGTATTATTCTCGTTATTAGCCTTGATATTGGGCACGTGGGTCTCAGTCTTAGATATAATAAATCTTTATAAGTAAAATATATAAATAATCGCTAAGTACTTTTTTCTGCGGCGTCTTTCTTCAAACTATCACACACACACACACGCGCGCGCGCGGGAGAATTCACTCTCCGGACAGCTCGGACTGAGTATCGACGAATGAGCCATTTTTAATGAGACATTTTTAATGAAGCAATTAGCTAAAATCGTGAACCCCAAATAATACACGAATTAATTACGCGATGCTTCCCCGCCGTGTCAGACCGACGATAACTGCCTTTTTATCTTTCATTTGTATCCCGTGCGGGAAAATAGTAATCAGAATAACAGAGCTTCCGATCACCGATCCGAAACTCAACGTAAAAAATGTAACAAGTACGTTAATTAATCGCTAAATAGGATACGCATGTGCTACGAAATGCAATGCCATCTGGTCTGCAATATGTACAAAGTGTATCAAGACGCGGGCATTTTCTGTCGGAGCTATACGAGTGTTGAAGATTTCAAGAACAGAAGAAGAAGCTTGAAGAAGAAATAAGAAGCTTGAAGTAACTCGTTCATTCAAACATTTTCATACTTCAGACACGATCTCGAGTTTAAAGCACGCCGCGCTCTTGCGCGTCGAATTTTTCAATTTAAACAAAATTTACCTCGTCGATCGACGTGAGCGAAAAATGGTCGCTGCGTGATCGCGATGAAAAATGATGGAGACGCGTGAGTAAGTCGACAGGTTGTGGATCAGCTTTCGTATCAAGTCGCGCTCTTTTGTGGGCATCAATCAACGACTCTGTCACCTCGTGAATGAACAGGTCCGAAGAGTTGAGTTTCTCGTCTGGATTCAGAACACGCGCGCAATACAGTAAATCAGGATCGGTGTGCAGGAAATGCGGCTCAGAGGTAGTTATCGGGTCACTCTTGTTACATTTTTCAATCGTTAAATTATTCATCATTCGATTTAGTTGAACCACTAGTTGATATTACGTTCTCATTACTTGCCAGATATTTTGGAAATTCGTCCAAAAACCATAAATCGTAAGCGCGATAACACAAGGCGTGCGTATTAGTAATTTTTTTTTTGTTTTTTTTTTATTGAAATTTTGCACTTTTTCGTATAACTTGGATTTCCAAAGAAGATCATATCTTTCAACATATCTACACTTTGTGGAGAGAAAGTCTTATTTATCTCTCAAATAATACATCTCGACGACGGACCATTCAAAGAGACCATTATTCTCGATTTTAATAATCTTTATAATTCTCGTTTGATCCGCTCGCGCGTGCAGCATAACACTCAAACTTTCCCGCCAAGTTGAAGATGTAGTGCGGGAAGCGCACAAAGTGCAGTTGGTACGAGTAGACCAAGTGGTGCATCGCGACATCAGCGACAAAGAGGCAGAAACGGCGGTGTGCGGCTCTCCCAATCGTACAATTTCGTTTTTCAATTTTGCATCACATATCGCTGTTAGACTCTCCGGCTCAGCAAAGTACTCGATCGCGTTCATTCTTTTTTTCGCGCACCACCAATTTCCCCACGACTTGCCCCTCGGTCGACGAATTTCCAAACGGCAACGCGCCATAACCTATCCACAGGCCGACAGTCATCGCGTGTGCTCGCTTTCGCCGGCTTGATAATGGCAATGAACGACGATTTCAATTTCAACGAGCTCTGCAGACTTTGCTCACTCAAGGGCAATCATCCATTTCAAATATTCGACAAGGAAGGCGAACAACGACAGCTGCTCTTTAAAATACACTCTTGCATTCCTGCTGTGGTGAGTATGGATCCGCAGTCTGCGAAGACTACCTCTGCCGGCTATTGTTTCCGCCGCTTGTCATTATTGGTTACACTCAATGGGGTATCAGAAGATTTTTAAATAACGATAATGTATCGAACCATGCTGATGCTTCGACTCAATATACATTTTGTTCTCTTGTTGTCCTATTCATTATATCATCTAAACATCCATTAATAGGATATTTAGATGATATAATCAATATGGATATAACGATTGAACACAGTTTTGCGATTAATTAATTATATTTCTTATTCTTCTGTACACTTCGGGAACTAATGTAATACAGCTTTATATATTAGAATAATGTTGAGAAATTATATACCAATTGTAATATTAATTCTATACTTGTAAAAACTGATAACAAAAAGTATTATAATTTTTAAATGTCAACAGAATATTGAAGGGACCAATATCATAAATTTTAATACTATCTACAAAAAGATATGTATATAGAGATAAATATATATAGTGAATTACTAGCACAGTTGTTGTGAAAATAATCATTAAAATAATGAACAACAAGCTTGAGAAAAATCTAGAGTCAAGCTAAAGAACTGACAATTGCAAAAAATACTTTCATCTACACGGACGATATTTTTAGCTAAAAAGAAACGTGGGATTATTTCATTTCAGATATCGAAGGAAGATTCACTGCCAAAATATGTCTGTCAGAAATGCGTCCACAAGATAGACATGTTCTATGAGTTTCGTATCAACTGCATGGCTACGAATACAATCCTAAAGAATTACGCAGATAGTATGAAACACCTCGCTATAGCAGTTAGTAGTCAAGTAAGTAAAATTCCCACTTTTAATATATGCACTCATGTATGTATACACAAAAGAAGAACACGCAGCCATTGTGGATTACATGTATAAGCATCTCTGCAGATATAAAGTATACTAGGCGAAGTTTTAGTCTGAAGTCTTACAAGAACATCCAGATTCCAACAAAATATTGAAGGAATATAGATCACAGGTGCAACCATGTAAATACGCACATTAATTTGTTCTCAAATTCTCTATTATTTATGTACCAAAATCATACTTTAAAAATTATAACGATCACTACAGTTGACGTGTGATTAACCTAATGTTTTATTGTCAAAAAGATCATAATATTTGGCATTATTAAATAGCTATACATGGCACCCAACAGTGAGGTTGTGTTAGTAAATCGAATATTAACATAATACAAAGATGCTAAAATAAAATTCCACGTAAAATTGTAAACGCACCGTGATATGTTACAAATCATAATATCCATAGGGATATCCGGGGGGGATATCTATATCGATAACGGACGAAATTAAAAAAAAGTTGCGCGTAGACACGAGACTAAATTACGCGAGCATATAAATATTAAAGTATATAAATTCTTTGATACTGAAGAATAAGAAGGAAATTAAAAAGAATAAAGCCTTTAGAACTGGTACATTAACAACACAAGTCAAATCTAATTTAGGAAAGCATTGGCAAGACCTCGTATATAGATTCAAATCTTTTAACAAATAGATTAAATAAAATTGCTGATTAATCGCACGCGGAAACGATTAGTTGTAACGACTCTTATATTAAAAAAAAAAAATAGCTATAAGCCATTGACTTTAGTCGACAGTCGTTGAATGCATAACAATATTTGTTACAACTGTTGTAAATATAATGTTGATTTGTGTATAGTTTCATGTGTATTTCAAAATTCATCATGTCGAGCTTGGCTTTTAAATTTAATTTTTTACTTCTCTTTATGTTTACTTTTTTTTTATATTTATATACATATTTATCATGATTACATCAACATGTAATTTGTAATTTTTTAATTGCACTTTCAAAATTATTTTCTTAAAAGCAAATTACACACATTGGTAATACTTTATTATAAAACACGTATATACAAAAATATCTGGCGCTACGCTTGCTCTCGGCCGTCAAGTAACACCATACGGCGGACGAGCGCCATACCGAAGAGATTAATAATTAACCGTCGCTCCCCCCTCTGTTACGCATAAATTAATACTGTGAAAAATTATCGTCTCAGTCGGGAATCGAACTTGGGTCGTGCCTTCTGCCAGATCGGTGAAACGCTTTACCGTTTCAATCGTTTAAGAAATTTTTGGGGTTGGGCCGCTTCTTCTACTCAATCGACTTCATCTCAATCGACTGGACTGTTTTCTCCGAGCGCAGAGCGCGATCTTCTTTTGCGACCTCGTAAAAGCGCGCCGCAATATCCGTCGTGAGCAACCCTAAAACTAAGGCATCTTTATGCGTCGGCCCAGCGTTTTATGAGTTGTAAGAGACTCTTTATGCGACGTGCCGGCATTCACCCTCGTTCCTCTCGTTCTTTCTTTCCCACCATTTTTTCTCGTTTACAGTAATTTAGTGATTCAGCGACATTTAGTACTTATTCTTAGTACTCGGCTAGTCTACGGTAGTCTAATACGTGAATCGTACGCGAGAATCTAGTGGGTAAAATCAATTTTTTGAGTAACCGAAGACTGCATTTTTGGTCCGTGATAATTCTACCGGTGAAAGAATCATCTTGGAAAGTCGGGAGAACAATGAACCGAGACAAATCTCTCTTATTAGACTAGAATCTCTTTTATTACCGCATAGACGGATGTACTTAGACCGCGCCTTCTTATAAAAGACATTGAAAATATAAAGAACGGCTACATTTCCCTTCTATTGTCCACAAGCATGCTATCTTCGTCCAGCTCTCTTCAATCAAAATGAAACTAGACAAAGATCGAATGCCTGTAGTACAAGTCATTCTTTTCAACGTGATTGATGTTCACGGCTTCTTGCGGAGCGCTCAGCTCATAAGTGTTCGCATTACCGTCGCCAAAAACGCAAAAAAAAAAAAAGAAACATAGATTCAAATGCATCGCAACAGTTGATAACTATTACTTGTGCCGCGAGTGTAAGCCGGAGAAATTCGTCGAACACATACACGCGACTACAGTCCGAGTCGACATGTATGCGCCCATAGCCCATTGGGCGAAGGATTGATTCAAACTGCCCATTGGAATATCAGCAGGACGAGGGATCTCGTGAAACGCGCATATCGTTTTCCCTCCTTCGTGTCTGGCTACGAGCGGGAATTACAGGGACGATGAACAGGGTCGGGACCGCGGATTCTGGCGTTGGTGGGATTGGGAGGGAGGGCGATCACGGCGGGGGGAAGAGGAAACGCGCGCAAGGGCGTCGCTGATCGGTAGCTGGAGGTGCTCGGGTCCCCCTCGGTCCCTCTTCCGCGTCTGCTGCAGCCGGCGGCGCGCGATCTCAATAATTCCACCCTCGTGTACGCGACAGAGACGTCGCGACGCGGCGGGAACGAGGGGTGAAGAGAGGGAGAGAGAAAGCACGACGTCCGACGTCGCGGTGTCTATTGATCGGCGCGGCGCTTCGCGGCGGCCGCGAGCGCGCGTTGCGCGCATAGAAAGCGAAAGTCGCTGTACTCCTTTCTTCGCCGTCTCGACTGCACCCCTCCTGTTCCCTACCCCTTGTCTGCCTCAGCCAACCCATTTCCCTTCCACCTGCCGTCTTCCTCTCGTTCTCGTCACGTAATACACCTCTCTGTTCCTTTCTCGGCTCCGCCGCGTTCCTTTCCGCGCGCGTTCGCATCTTTCTCCGTTGCTCCCTTTTTTCTCTCCGCTCTGTATACTTACTTTTTTAATGTCTCTTTGTCCTTCATCTTGATTTATTTATTTATTGGTCAATATGTGTGTATATAATATCGCTACATGTTATTATTCATCTGTATACTTATCATTGCAACGGTACTTGTTGTTGCCTGTCTCTTTATTAAATTAATCTTTTTAAATCTTGCTATTGTCCCCTGGTTTTTTTAAAGGATCTACTTCTCAGGGTAATAGGAAGCGCCGGGATTACTTTGCTTCATGCGTGTTTACAGGATATACGTTTCATTATTGCACTCCTCACCTGAGAGGTGTCATCGTTCCTCAGCGCTATGGTCGCTTTGTCGTTCTCGACTTTTTTAAGCGAACAGATTTGCAACGTGTACTCGGTGTGTCATGTTTCCAAAGGACTTAGTCATACAACACGATATAAATTCCACTCTACCCCTCCTCCTCCCTCTCTCTCTCTCTCTCTCTCTCTCTCTCTCTCTCTCTCTCTCTCTCTCTCTCTCTCTCTCTCTCTCTCTCTCTCTCTCTCTCTCTCTCCTCTCTCTCTCTCTCTCTCTCTCTCTCTCTCTCTCTCTCTCTCTCTCTCTCTCTCTCTCTCTCTCTCTCTCTCTCTCTCTCTCTCCCCCTCTGTCTCCTTTCACTTCTCTACCGGTCTCTCATTCTCTCTCCCGTTCCCGGATCGCTCGATCCCCTCTCACTCCCTTTCCCACCCCCTCCCCCCTGTCGATCCGGCAGTTCTAGGCACAGGTGTAACGTGTGTCCGGGCCCCGCACCTCCGAGAAACCTGTTTCGAAACCCGGGATATCCCGCCGGAGCCTCGTTACGTGGGTGATTTTCTCTCTCTCTCCCACTCTCCCTCCCCCCCCCCTCGCCCTTTCCCTCTTTCTTTCTCTCCACCAACGTTCCGGAATATCGGCGGCTGGTCGAAGGGCGGCGCGACGAGGAGGATTGCGCGACGTCCTCCTCGTCGTCCCTGGCATCTCCCTGGTCGCTCCCGTGTTGCGGACGCGTGCGCGCGCGCAAGGTCTCCCTGTCCCCCCTTCTTCAGCGTCTCGCCTCCCTCTCTCTTTCTCTCTTTCTCTCTCAATGTCAGTGTCAAGGTCAGCGGGCCGACGCACCGGTCGGAGTGCTGCCGCCGCCGCCGTCGCCGCCGCCGTCGCCGCTGCCGTCGCCGTCGCCGTCGCCGCCACCGCCACCGCCACCGCCACCGCCACCGCCACCACCACCACCGCTGCGCCGCCTACACAGCAACGTTCCTCGTTACTGTGTATCCGGTATACTACTCGCTGGTAGTTTGTGTATAGCGAGAGAGGCAGAGAGAAAATCGGACGGGAAGAGGAGCACGGCGTGCTGCACGAGTCTGTAATACGCCGACACCCTCCTTCTCTCCCAGGCGGCGACACCCTTACGCCTCCGAGTGCGTCGTGGTCTCTGGCGACTACGGTGCATTCCGAGGGGATGTCTTGGCGGTGTCGTGAGCGCGTCACATTCGTGTGTCCTCGAAGCTTTATCCTCCAGAGCGGTCCTTCCTTGCCGACTTTGCTACGTCCGTCTTTGTTCCTTCTCCTGGGTCGCCTCGCGCGCGCGCGCGAGAAAGAAAGAGAGAGGGGGGGGAATGATACACACGAATCATTGGCGTATGCATACACACATAGGCGCGCACCTCTCCCGCCCTCCTGCGACCCTCTCTCCGAGTCACGTCCTTGTCACTCCAACGTCCAACGGCTGCCCCGCGGTCGTCGCTCCCCCGCCTTCGCCGTGCGACTCTTCCTCTTTCTCTCTCTCCGCAGCAGCGTGGCCGCTTACGTGCGATCCTCTCTCCTCGTTGCACCCTCCGACGCAAGCTGCAGTCGGCCACGTTGCATTCCGCGGGGAACCACCGCTCCGGTATCGTTTGTACCGTGTGCTCCGCTCCGCGTCTCCGTGTGTGTCACCGGCTGTCTTACTTCTTTCTGAGCCGCCCCGTCCCCTCCCCCCCCCGCTCCGTGCGTCGTCTACTCGCATACCCTACCTTTCGCGTCTCTTTCTTTCTCTCCTCTCTCGCTCCCCCCTCTCTCTCTCTCTTTCTCTCGTGTTCAGTCGTTTCAGTCGTTTCAGTCTCTCTCTCTCTCTCTCTCTCTCTCTCTCTCTCTCTCTCTCTCTCTCTCTCTCTCTCTCTCTCTCTCTCTCTCTCTCTCTCTCTCTCTCTCTCTCTCTACCCCCCTCTCTCTAGCCCCCCTTCATTTCTTCCCCTTCATCCAGTTCTATCTTTCTTCTCTCTCTTCCTTGTTCCCTCGCCGTCCCGCTCCCAACCTCCTCGGCCGTCTCGCGTTTATCCCCTCTGCGCCGGCGGTTGCTTTTTTCGCCTCTTTGTCCTTGCATCCTCCCGCGCCGGGAATCGGCGGCTGCGGCGGTGGCCAGCTTCTCGCGGGCTCTTCGGCTCTCTCTCTCGCCCCGTGAACCCGCGAGATTCCTTCGAGGCGTCGTAAAAAGCAAAAGCGAAGGCGCGCTCGCGCGACCTTACGTGCTGCACGCGCAGACGTGCGTGTGTCGGTCGGTCGGTGCGGCGCTTATCGATACATCGTGCACGTCGGACGTCCCGTCGGAGTGTGCTCCTTGACGTGTGTTGCCGTAGCTACCCCCTCGACAACGTCCGACACCCCGCGCGCGCTCGAAGGTCTCGGTCTCTCCTCGTCGACGTTACGTTATGAGGACGAGACTGTCGTCGCCGCTCCTCCGTGCGCGATCAGTGCTGTGACTGGGAAAACAAATCTGGACCGATTGGACTTGCTGAACGGGCGGTAAAAGAGCGTCCTTCAGCGTCGTTCTCCGATCGAAGATCCCACGGCCACCTCGGCATTGTTCCCGACCACGGCCCTCTTGCATGCGTACTTGCGGCGTGGTGCGTGGTAAGCCCGTCCGAGAAGTTTGTTACACACGGCCGCCCGTGCCTTTTGTGAGAACGATCGACTCGCGCGACGGCTTCTTCCTACTCTCGTCCCTCCTCTCTCTCTCTCTCTCTCTCTCTCTCTCTCTCTCTCTCTCTCTCTCTCTCTCTCTCTCTCTCTCTCTCTCTCTCTCTCTCTCTCTCTCTCTCTCTCTCTCTCTCTCTCTCTCTCTCTCTCCCCCGCTTTTCGGCCATTATTGTACTCGGCTCGCGCGACGAGTGCTGCGGCGTATCTGCTTTTGTTTACTCATGTATGTCATACAAAGCCGTGGGTGTGCTCGCGTCGCGTCGCGTCGGTGCGTTGACGCTCGCGCGCGATAATCGTCAGGGTCAAGCGGTGGGATTTCTCAACGGACAACCCTGTGCAAGTATTTGTATTGTAGGTCTCGCGGGTGCTCTCGAAGAGTACCAGGAAAGGGCGTCTTACAAAAATCTGTTGCATATTTTACAAATATTGTATACAATCGCATTCATCATCTCTGTATTCTCTGCTCGTCGTAAGCAAGCAAGTGTGTGTGTGTGTGTGTTTACTTTGTTAAATATATCCATCAGGAACAGAGAATCGTTTCGTTCACTTCAGTAGTTCTTCGAAGCCTGATATGCTCACACATTACGTTGCCTGAATTCTTGGCTTGCCGATTTGAGAGTTCCCGCTTCTCAAATGCGGAGATTATTCTCTCTTCTCACACCGACGGTCATAATGGAGAGAGAGAGAGAGAGTAATAATTTGCCGAGTGATCGGTGTGTCAGAGGAAAATTCGTCAACAATGGACAAGCCGTGGATCTTGTTTAGGGTGTACATAGAAATCTCTTCCCTCTGACAGATACAACACGAAGTGTTGTTGTCCTTATTGTTCTTTCCTCCGAGAGACCTTGATGAAGCAATAGCGTACGCTGCTGCCGGAAGGGCAGCAGAGAAAGGGGAGGGGGGGAGGGGGCAGAGGGTGCAAGCGGCCGCACTTGCGCTTTTGTGGATCGTTACGAGAGGAGGAGAACGTCTCAATTAAAATGTATCGCTTTATTAACAGAAGTATTTGCGGAGCAATCCATCAGCGATACGCACGGCGCGCGCGTCACGAGACGCGCGAGCTGATAACGATACTGGCGAGAGAGAACGGCCTTTTAAACGCTCTCAGCTCCAAGCTCGACCGCTTCAAGTAGACGCGGCTCTTTCCGCGTCTTTGCAAAGCCATCTTTGATACGTCGTCCTCGGCGTCAGACCGCGACGCGGGATCGATGCGTAATCAAAGCGCGCCGAGCGCCTCGGCGAACTGAAAAATCTGCACGCGCTCGCGATTATATTCCAAAATAACTCGACATTTTTTGAATAGCGCGACGTGACTTCACGATACACAGACGCGCCTCATCGAGATGCTGCAAGAGATGCGTTTCGTTGCATTCGAGTGAGTTGCGCTCTCCCTCAATGGAGAGCAGCCGATCAGTCCAACGACGTGTAACGAGTACGATGTTTCGCCGGAAATGTATACGCTACGAGAGACCAGGAGAAACATAAATCTTAATCGAGTCGCAAAGCTCGTGGAGACTTGGCGCGACTTAGCCGTGTCGGAGCGAGAGAGATTGCCGTCACCCAATAAGTGCTTCCGAATTCAGGTTGCAGACAAAGACAAGATGTCAAACAACGGGCAGCAGCAGCAGCAGCAACGCTCGTCCTACGTGGAAGCGCATGCTGTGGCGCACGCGGCATTGCAGCAGCACATGGCCCAACAGGCCGCACAAGCGAGGCTAACCGGACCTGGGCCGCCCGCGGCCCCGCAACCTTCGAACCCCACGTTCACCCTGCCCGACGACGGACTCGGCTATGATGACGGAGTGCGGGTACTGCGTTCCATCGGGACCTGGTGTGTAAAGTATATACTGAATGTGTGAGTGTGTGATGATGACCGGACTGAAGAAGCGATGACGGTTCATCCTAACAGCATAACCTCTTCGTTGCCGATAACGATTCTTCATCTTTTAAAAACTTTCGCGCAAATAAAAAGCGTCGCCCGTCTCCCGCCCTTCCTACAGCTTTCTCCAGATGGACTTTTCGTTCTCGCGCTGCCTCTGCAGGTTGCGCGATTGATCGTTTTTCGTCGGCAGAGCTGCGTTATCATTACACCCGCACTAGTCCCCAAGGACACACAGTCCTAGTTAAGCCATTACGTCCTATTTCAGGTCACCGGATTATCCAACCGCGATGCGTGCTGGTGGTGTGATGTCCACGTTTCCTAGTGCAACGGACTCGCAGTTCGGCAGCAGAGCCCCGGTGATGAATCAGCCCTTACGAACGACGAACAACGTACAGGTCCGTCCGGGCTCCGTTTCGAAGGCGACCAATACAGGCGAGCCCACGACGAAAGCATTCGCCTGCACCGTGTGCGGCAAAGGACTCGCTCGCAAAGACAAACTTGTCATACACATGCGCATACACACCGGGGAGAAGCCGTACACCTGCGAAGTGTGCGGTGAGTATGAAGGTCGCTGCGATGATCTCGCATCGCGACAATCTTGGCACTCGCGCCTGGGATCCGCAGGCTAAGATAAACTACGCGTCACGAGCGGTTGCGATGAATCGCGCAACGGGAACAATCCTGTATTGCAGGCAAAGCGTTCTCACGTCGAGACAAGCTGGTCATCCACATGAACAAACTTAGACACAGACCCGGCGTCGCACCTCTGTCGACGCCTACCGCACCGAGCTCCAATCAACAGCATCAGCAGCAACAGCAACAAGCGCAGCAGCAACAGCAGCAACCACCTCGTCAGGATGCCATTCACAAGCCGAAGGAGGAGCCAGGAAATTTTGTCTGTGACGTGTGTGGGCGATCGTTCGCCAACAGAGATGACTGGATGCAGCACGCTCGGTTAGTAGTGTCGCCTCATTCTCAACGCGAAAATTTCAACGTTTACGTTTCTACACAAATGCTTCCAAGCGACCAATCAGTTTGGCTTGTCTGACAATTTGTAGCATTACCTTGCTTTCTATTTAAGATCTCTGACTAGCCGCAACGGTCATCTTGATTTGTGATGTTCACAAAACAACACTTGCAATCACGATCGATCGAGTCTGCAAAACATTCCAAACATTTCCCAAATAGTCCATAAATTACTTCAAATAATTTAGCGTGTATATTTTCTCGCTTCTTACGCCATCTCAAGCAAAATGGCCGCGACGAGTAGGGCCAGGAACCACCAAAATACTAATATTCTTTTCTTTTTCTTTCTTTTTTATATTTTTAATATAATTAATATTTAATTAAAATTATAAATATATAATTAAAATTTAATATAATTGTTCACAACGCAATTTCGATCGCAGGTCTCATCTGGACACGTCTGCGCCGCCACAGCATGCCGCTCATTATTTCACCGGATCCGCGCCGCCCCCACAACCCTACACTTCCGAGAGGCATTTTTGCTTAGTGTGCCGCACCGACTTCACGGATAAAACCGAATTCATGTTTCACGTGCGCACGCACTTCGGGGTCTCGCAAGCGGCGGCACAGCAGCAAGGCGCGAACGGTAAACAGGGCAGCGATCCAGCGGCAGCCGATCTCATCGCCCGCGGGCTCGTTGATCCCACCGGCTTATGCAGCTAGAATTACTCCTCCTGCCATTACGTACCGTCGATCCGTGTCTTACCATAGTACAAGTTCTCTGCTCCATTTCGACCAGATTTTTCGCATTTAGGGTGTCATGGATATTGTGATTTTAATGAATTTATATACTGATTTGTCGATAATAGATACACAGTAGTACGATAAACATCGCGAATATGAGTGGACCGGCGTGCTATTTGTTTATCTAGTTTACTTTCTGTGCATCAGACAATTATGCAGCCTTACGGTCCCTTTATAAGTTTGTAGAATTATTTCGTAAGATCTTTATGAAGATTCTCTTGGTAAATTCGTAATTGTAACTGTTGCATAAAATAGCGACGGTTACCTTTATGTCTCAGATTAGTACTGTTCTATCGTTGACCATAAGATAAGTAAAAGATAAATACTGCAATCATTAATCAATAATTCGATGGACTTAATCGTTTTAAGAAATGTCGATTGACATTCGAGTCCAATTATTGATGATTTGTGCATTTGTAACAAGTTGAAATTGTTCTTTTGACCGTGATTTGAGCGCGCGCTGTGTAGAAGAAGAATTTTATCCAATTTTAGTTGAATCTTTTTCTTAGTTTGAAATATAAGTTTTTGAATAAACAATTTTATACTCTTCAAGATATGTTTTTTTATACCTCGCTTCGCAGGAGTAATTATTGCTGAAATAACTGTTTGCCCGCATCGTGACACACGTGACATATCATGGATAACGCTTTGTGAAATTATTATTAATTTCGGGAACTTGCTACTGTGTATCTTTTAATACGATATAAAGCCAAGTTATCAAGAAAACGAAATTTAAGTACCGACGTGATATTGATTTATGATAACAGTACACTATTGCGTCAGTACTTAAAAACGATCATTTTATAGTAAACGTTCCTACATAGCTAGCTTCCCATCATCTGTAGATACCAGTAGTATCTCTAACGTAAAAGTTTGTTCTCAATGCTATTATATTTTTTTACTTGCATATGTCTGTACGTTTGATTGACGCACTGCAACGTTATTATTTAGAGAATTTATTATTTCAATGCTATCGTTATCCTTATAACATACATATATGGAAATTGTAAGAAAAAAAGGCGAATTATATATTATCGAGGTTGAGTAAATTAGAACCTCATAAGCGCCAATGTGAGCCAAACGCGAGATGCGAGTCACAATGAAAATAAGTATTTGAATATTCAGTTTGTGTCGAAATAGTTTTCCATCCGCAAATAATGTATTTCTGCAGTCAGCAATTAAGCAATCGCATTAAGCATTTTTTATTTTGCGCTCGACTCACATTGACACATAGTTTGCTCAAGTTTGATTTTGTAATGAGCTATTGTTTTACCTTTGGGATCAATGTCGTCTATTATTAATATGTATCATTGATTATTACTCTGTAATCAAAAAATTAATCATGTTTTATATTAAGTTTATTTAAATTCGATTTCAATCTCATCCATTGGCTATTCATCCGCATGTGTTGTGACGTGCTAGCGTCGTGTACAGCGGTTTCGCCGAAACTTCATGATCTTCCAATGGCAGTGCATTTCATGAATGTATTGCTCGTTTGTACACCAAACGTAAATTACCGCTGTAGTGGTATAGCACAAACGTTGGCGACAAGTCATGCAATTGATCGAAGCTTGCGCTAGCTAACGTTTTTCGACGTCTGCAGCAACGTTTCTCATATGATACTCGGGACAAACGCGACGTTCGTATCATATTATTGATTGGTTTTAGTGCGAATAGGATTGTTTTATTGCTGTTTTTTTTTTTTCTTCTCTTGGCGTGCTTATTTTTTATTGTTATGATTATCCTTGTTACCTAAAGTGTAATGTACTGCATGTACTTAGTCAGGGATTAGGGAGTCCACATTTTTATTTAGTTGTTACACGTACAAGGAAAAAGAGAACGCACGCGAATGTGCGTGTTTTCGAGCGGTTATAATGCCTACGATCACTGGTGAAACTACAACACACACGTACACGCTGATATATACTGTGTGGTGAGGTACGAAGAAAGCTAGCTCCCACTTTCGAGACACTTTGCTCTCCCATATATTTTATCTGAATTTCGGATATCGAGTCGTGATCGCGTACGAGTCAGGAGACGGTACCATCGTTCTGTGAAGAGAGAACGCGAGAGAAGCACAGATATACAAATATATCCATTATCGCAACGGGAACTTGACGACAATAATCGTTCGGGTTTCGTTTCGCGGCAGCCGAATACGAATTGAGCGCGTCAACGTATCGGCCATACATCCGGGCGTCTCTGAATCGTGAGTTTGCATTGCGAACAAACTGCATCTTCCAGAAGGTGAGAGGTACGAAACGAAAAAGAACACCCGATGAGATCCGCTTGTTACGGCGCTTAAATTTTTTCTCGTCTACCTAGAGAGTAGTGTCCTCCATAAGATTAATCAGTAAAAAAACGAAAAAAAAAAGAAGAAGGAAAGAAAGCGCATTAAGGATGCGAAAACTGCCGTGCCTCCTGCCCCACGTACAAATCCCCGCTTCCGGCTTGTTTTCCATTCGACGATCGCTTTTAGGACGACCGTGCCTGCGTGATGCGAATCAAAAGTAACAAGAGAAAAAGGGGTGAAACTCGGAGCCTAATGCTGAGCGTATATTTTGTGTAACATTTTACAACTACGTCATAGAAATAATCACCGCGACAATAGCGACCGTCTTAGACTACCGTGTGCGCAAGCCTCACGACGGGGACGGGTCTCTCGAGTTTTTTACCTACACTTACACCTTTAACGTAGTGAGATTAGTAGGATAGTCTCTCTCGTGCGCTTGGTGGCCAGGCCGATTTTGCGCTTTGCGACGTTTGCGCGAGTCCGAATCAATCCCTTCGGCCCTTGGAGTTACTGATTTCTCTCTCTCTCTCTCCCCCCCTCTCTCTCTCTCTCTCTCTCTCTCTCTCTCTCTCGTGCAGGATCCAGGAGACGACGAACAGTCGACACTCGCTTGCTAATCGATCGCGATCGAGCCTATCGTCGGTAGCGATATTTGCGGAGAACACTGAGAGCATCTCCGAGCTAGCGCGAGCGCCAGCGAGAGAGAGAGAGAGACAAACTTACGCTGCGCCTGTCGCGCCGTTTTGAGAGCGTGACGACACGTGCTGGTTCGCGCGGTGCTCTCGCGACTTGAGTTTGTTTTCTCATGGACATTTTTGTACAGAAGGGAAAAGAAGAGAGCAAGCAGAGGGAGAAAGAGAGAGAGAGAGAGAGAAACAAGATGCGTCCGAGTAAAGTGTAAACGCTGATTTTCGTGGCGGTGATGCGACGCGCTCTCTCGCGCGCTGAAAATTCGGAAGAATAGACGTATAGTGCCTTTTCTCTGGGACTTATCCACACGTACACACACGTACATACACACACACGTACATACACACACACACACACACACACACACCATAGTCATCATTTGAATTCACGTGTTAGGGAGGCACACCGGCATAAGTAAAAATATCGGGATAAGTTAGACGTATAGGTAAGACGGCGTTCATTTTCGATTTTTTTGGTCCTTCCGTTTACGAGGAGTGTGAATGTTCGATGCTACTGCCTCTATAGCAGCTGTTTTAGACTACTTTTATACTGTTGATGTCACGCGCAGCTAATCAGAGTCAGTATATTACTGCCATAATTATGGAACAGAATGTATACTCAATATACCTTTATAAATAAAACACGTCCAAAACGAAATTGCGTCTCCCTCGTTCATTCCCCTGGCGTTCAGCGTAGACTCACACATGCGCAGATCCCGCCTCTTCTCATGAGAGGTTCGAAGACAAAGCTATGTTGCTTCCCTTCACTGCCCACACTATATGGTGTTACTGTGTCTAGCTTTCTCGGATAAGAGCGAAGCTGGACAAAAAGATCGAATGCGCGCCTGTGGCACGAGTTGTCCTTTCCCCGCGCGTAGTCTTCGCGAGTCTTCTTGCGGAACGTTCGATCGACAGTGCGAACGAGTCTGTGGTGTCAAGCTGCCGTGTTTACAAACGTATGACATGTGCATTCGCGTAAGATCGAGCGAGGACGAACGGACGGCAGGCAACGGTGAAACACAGTCGGCCCGATATCACATAATGCGTTTTCTCGGGCGACACGGCCGGGCTGATGTGAAAGATCACGCGGTATGCATTTCTTTCTGCCCACCTAAGGTTGCCACCGAGTTCCTGTTCAGATACAGGCGGTTCGCCTTGCCAGATCGCGCCGCGCCCGTATTACGGACAACAATAATGGCTAGCCGACAACCGGCTCGACTCCGTTGCATTTTTATTTCCTCGCCCTTGCCGCGACCCGCACCTCCTCGCGCACGATGGCGTGTAACGCTCGCATTATCACTCGCGCGAGTCCGGATAATGAGATAATCGCTCTCCTTTGTTTCCCTTTTTTTCTTCCGTGCCGATAATCGCCGGCTCTCTCGCGAAGTAAGGAGTGAAAAAATCGTGTCTCTCACGCGAGAGGAACAGTCGAGTGTCAACTTCCTTTACTTTTTTATTTTACTTCGGTGTAAAAAATAAAGAATGATACACTTGGATAGCACAACGAAATCGATTAGCGACCATCACGATGAGACCAACGGACCAACAGACTTATATGTGTAACGAATTGCTTTTTTTTATGTTTTATATTTTACATCAGCAGGTATTTCCATTGCAGTGTCGACGATCAATTTCTATAATTGTAATCATTTAATTTCCAGCGAGTCAAATTGCATCGGACAGGCTGCGATTCATCGCTGAGGTCTAATTGCGTCCCATCGCGGCGTTGCGTTAAATAAATAAAGCTGGTTCAGTTACAGCGGCTGGGAGTTAGGTTAATACATATGAGAGAATAAGCATGCTCCTCTAATCTCCGGTATTGCACCTCTTATACAAATATATATATATATATATATATATCGGGCGTATCCTGCATCTCTCATTCGGTATCGTGGGATTCTCAGTTGCAACACCATGGAGAACGCAAAGGTTACCGGATGAAAGTGAGTCGACCCCATGGAGCGCGTGATTGTGCTCGCATTAGCGAAGGAAATTGCAGTGCGAGACACTTGGCCGTTGCACGAATAGCATGATGAAAGTCGCTTGATTCTAGCAGCAGCTTCGGCATTTCATTTTTCGTACACGATGCCGGAAAATAGATGCGCGATTCCAAACTTGCTCGATTGATGCAGCCAACGAAAGTGTGCCTCAAGGTATTTTATTTAAAGACGCGACCGATAATATATCGTACAAAGATCGACTTTGTATAAAAAGAAAGTGTTACTTTGAAGCGAATAACATGTTTCTATCGAGCGTAGCAAGACATGTTTCTCTTCCCAGCTTACTTCGTTGATGCAGCCGACGAAAATGTACCCCCCGACATATTTTGAAGAATAGCTTCTGGTAATCGACAATACGTCATACAAAGATCGATGTGTGAGAAAGGAATACTACTTTGGAATGAACAATAATGTTTCTCACGCACACAAGATACACACACATGCTTCCCTTTCTATTAACTTAATTCCATTAAAGAAAGTATATCCCAAGATATTTTGAAAGCACGTTCTGCAACCAACAACTTTATCATATAAAGAGACTTCGTATAAAAAAGGAGAGCTACTCCGAAGTGAACTGAATTATTTTTCTTCGCGCACAAGACGTACCCTCCTCATCGCGTTTGTATGTCGCGTGTGTTGAAGTTTCCGGAATCTCTCCCAGCGGATTAGACCAGCGGATGGCGGATGGAACTACACGTTTCGTTCGATCGCGAGAGCTTCGTTAGACCCGTCGTGGAGGCGTCGCCGCTGCTCGCGCTTACGCTCAACTTACGTGTCGTTTAGCTCTTGCTGAAACTGTAGGAGAAACCGTCGGGGGTCCGATTGAAGTCGAGCTTGCCCGGTGGATAAAAGTTGCGCGGCGCCGATGTCATTATCGCGTTGTGTTGCGGCGCGGTCTGAGGAGGCTGGGCTTGATAATGCGCGCTCGGGGCCCCGTACGGGGGTATAGCCTGCAATTCCGGGGGATGATGGTAGCGAGGCTGCGGCTGCGGCTGCGGCTGCGGCTGCGCGCGGTACTGGTACTGGTACTGCAGTTGAGGCTGCGGCTGGTAAACGGCAGACTGCGGTTCGTAATCCAGTTGATAGCGCCGCGGGTGCTGCTGAGGGGCGGCCGCGTAACTCGGGGGTTGATAATCCGGCGGATTGTACCGCGACAACGGCACGTACTCCGGTTGGGGTGGCACCTGCGGGGGTGCGCTAGGAATGTGGTCCCCGGTCGCCTGCGAAACGAATAAGCAGCGTATACATGCTTTTAATCTCCATTGACGAGGCATGCTCGGTTTTAGCAGGGGTTTTAATCGACGGTAACAAAAGTTGATCATTCGAGTCTCTCGAGTCGTTACGTAGGCCTGCCTCTAGAGCCATGAGAATCGCGAACATTTTTTATGTCGAGGCGCGCGACTCGAGCTCAACCGCCAAAGCTTAATCTTTAGTCAACGATACGTGGTTGATCACGTGGCGTACAGCAGTCGCCGGAGAAACTTTTAATTGCGGGAGAATAACAATTGTGTATGCTGATGACAATAAGCGTATGACACGCGTATGACTCAGTATATTTTTTCAGATTCATATTTCGTATGACGTAAGCGGTGAATCAATCTCCCGTGTCAAATTATTCGAAATTATTCGAAATTGTTGATATTAGAATTTTATATTACCCTCTCGTAATTATTATATCTAATTTTGCGAAAAATATTCTCGTCTCAGCCGGGAATCGATCGTGAATTTTGGAATGGTTCAGACTTTAATTCGAATAATTTACGCGCATCTCTATTTGTTTCTTACTTTATTCGTGAATTTAGCGGATTTCGCTCAATCGATACCTTGCGCAGGTCTTTGCAATCTAGAGCCTTGGTAATTTATTTAGCGCAATTTTTATAGCTAACGAAAATAATGAAATTCCAGTCGGGGAAAGATTCAAGTTCGATCTTAACTGCTGATTTGTCTCCGACGCGACGCAAAGTTTAGTTACTTCGATATCGGAATTGATTGAACCGACAAACGGCGTCTCGGAGGCAACGATTAGGAGGGAATTCCGCGTTCCGCGTACCTGGAATCCGTTCTTTCCGGCCGTGTAGGTCACGGTGCGTCTTTGCCCGGTCGGATCGACGTACGAATACGATCCACGTCGGTCGCCGTTCACGTCGCTCTCCTCCTTGAACACCACTCCGTCTTCTTGGGAGTACGCCGCGCCGAAGGTGCCGTCGCCGGCGAGGTATCGCGTGTCGCTCAAAATCGCCGCCTGATGCGGCGACTGGTACTGCTGAGTCGCTTGACAAGTCGCACCGGCGATCGCACCCAGCAGAACGACCTGCAACACAATAAACGCAATTTAGACGAAGGACGAACAAAAAGCACTGACAACTCGGCGGGATGTACGCGGAGTATCTCATGCATTTCCGCACGACGCGGAACTGTAATTAGAACTCGTTTCCTTTTTTCCACCGAATCCCGTCCCAAGTGCGCTTGGGTTTTCGTCTTCGCTCTTGCCGATTAAATCGTCGTATTTCAATGAAATGTCTCGAGACGAACATCCGACAGCGAGCGCGCAGGCAGACACTTGCGAAGACTTACGAACGCAGCGCGCATGATGAAGGAATAATGGATCGTTAGGCAGCGGGAAGCGCGGCAGTGCTCCAGGAGCCGACGAGAGGGGCGTTTTATACGGCGGGTATTGTGGTTCAGGGCGACCCGGCGAAGAGGCCTTGATGCTAACCCGCGCGCGTCTCGAATCGCTTGGGTCTTCCACCACGCCCTGCATGCGATTCCTGTGGAACCTACAGTCCTCATACTTTCCCCGTGATCGGGCTCAGGCTGACATTTCCTCCAGCGGCTCGCTCGAGGAAGCTAAAACGTGCATCTCGGGCGTGCAGTTCGTGCAGAATGCTTCAGATTCCTCCTTCCTGATTTCAATTCGCCTCTGTTGAGTATTTTCAAAAACCGGCCGCGAGTCTCGGTATCCTTGGTATTCGAACAAAGACAGTTTTGGCGGACCAACCCCTCCATCGACGCGAACTCATCCTGCAAAAGTTTCCGTGATTTCGCACGGACGCGCGGACGCGTGAGAATATTAAAGACATTCTTTGAATTAGGTTTTACGGCTTTTCGCGTCCTCGCGTGAGTTTGAATACACTTTTGCGGAAATGCCCGAGGAACAGGCCTCCTCTCGAAGTCAATCAACGAAGCTCACTGTGGGGGCGCGATTTTCATCACAATTGTTTATTGTCGTCGGATATATGCGAGTCGCATACGTCGAGAGGTAGGTCGAACTCACGACGCTGCAGTAGATTATATACCGACGTTGCACTGCAATATGCGGTTACCGACTTGCGGAGGATTACCGGAGGAATAGCGGCGGACGGACGCGTTGAAGCTTCGGGCATTCTGCGGAGTTGGCGTCCAGTGTGCGCGCGATTACAAGTAATCGCGAAGGAAGAGGAGCACCTTGAGTACCTCCTCCCGCGGCGTCGCTAAAGCGCTAATCAGTCAAAAGTTCCTTCCCATTCGCCGTTCGCAATTAGCCGAACGTTCCTCGATTTCACTGCGCGTCGGAGTTACGACCGCGGAGTAGCGCGGCGAGTTTTTGCGTTCGTTACCGAGTCGCGCCGAATTGAGACCGCCGGCGCAGCCCGGAAAATCAAGCCGGCCGCGCTTTAATTGCCTTCGCAGCGCATATATTAATCGCGGCTGCTTGTATCTTGGCCGCTCGTTGCTTCCGATTTCCTCAATAACTCCGAGTGTGGCGAAAGCGCAGATCCCGCTCTGCTGCTCCCCTCGGCGTCGCAGCGATCGCGCCAGCATTTTTCCCCATTTACGATTATTCCTGCATCTCGCAATCGCCCGGCAAATCGCGGCGCGGCGTAAATACACGCGATTATAAAACTTCGCCGCGGCGCATTAACGGATGAAATATCCTGTTCCACTTTTATTTATCGATGATTCCGAAGCGCGCAATCCCGCCGAGCGCGGAATTAGCGCGGATGCGCGAATTAGTCATTCGCCGTCATGCGAAGAGTTCGATTCTCGCTGGTTTCTTTTCACCCGTCTACGCTTCTCTCTCTCCCTCACTCTCTCTCTCTCTCTCTCTCTCTCTCTCTCTCTCTCTCTCTCTCTCTCTCCCTTTTTCCCTCCGTCTTTCGCGCGTCGCGCGTGAACTCTTTGGCGATACATCTTACTCGCACGACAAGTCCTGCACTTTCTATCCGCGGAGAAGTCTGAGAAACTTCGCAGAAATAAATTCTACGAAGCGAGATCAATCCATGCGTGATATTTGCGGGGGGAGGGGGGGGGAGGCGTGGTGGAAGTGCGTCGTGCCGGGCGCGGGAATATCGCGTATCGCGGGGATCGTTCGGCGTGTCCCGCGAGCGAGGCGAGAGGAAGTATCGAGTTTCTACGTTCTCGTGCGTGAAGTAATATCGTTTCCGGCGCGCGCGGCGGCGGCGGCGGCGGCGGCGGCAGTATCAACATCGCAGACACAAGTGAAGTCCTCCTCTCGGCCGGGATAATTGACTTTCTCCGGCCCGTTTCCTCCTGTCAAATCCGTCGTTTTTTTCCTTCCTCCTATCGAGTGGTATCCTTTCGAATCTTATCGCGACGACGGAGCTTTCTTCATCCGCTCGCGCGCGCGCAAACGGCCGACGCTCGCGCTGCTCCGGCCCGCCACGTGTCGCAACGTTCGCCGTTCGCAATTTCGAAAATTGCCGTCAATTTGGCGCCGGCAAAGACCGGGAAAGAAAGGACCGGCGGGCGGCCGACGCGTTTTACGAGATTTTCATAGTTTCATTCGCGGCCTTTTCCCCGCTTAGCCCGGCTTAGCGGGCCGGTAAACCTCTTCCAGTGTTATGCACGTACTCGAGATGTATGCTCCTTCTCTTTTTCTCTACACTAGCGGTTAATAAGTCAACTAAATGGTTTCGCGGAAGGATCCTTTGGCAATCAGACAGCCGAGCGAGTCCGAGCGAGAAGAAAATTCTCGGCTCTGCTCCGCGAAGTCTCAGCCCTCGATGGCTCATGGCTCGCGGTATCACAATGTAACGCCCGGATGTGACCCCCGGTCGCGGTCTATCTTTAGAGTTTCACCTGACCCGACCATTACGGGCGTTGTTGTGAAAACGGACACTTTGCGCGTCCGTGAATAAATGAAAAATGGCGGGATATCCTACGGCCGCGGCGAGCGCTTTTAATTGACTCGCGGCACGTCAATTCGTGTTACGTCGGCAGATAAGTTCGTTGCTCGACGAGAGCGCGTTGCGTTGCGCTCTCGTCGCATTAAAAGTTCGCGCGAGCGTCACGCAGTGCCGCGCAATTATCTCGTCGTTCGGGAGCGGTTTTTCTTTCCGCGTCGGCAGTAAAGCCGCGACGCGGCCCATTATCTCGCGAAATTTATAGATCTGAGCTAAATAGATTTTTTTTCTTCCTTCTCGCCGCTCCTTCACCCCTTAATTTCGCCCGGCTGGGCGAACGTTGCTGGGTCGCTAATGACGCAGATCGCTGCTGTTTAGCACGAGGCTGATCGTTTACACGTCGTAAATTTAACTGTATGCGAGGCGGATAAGTTGCGGCTGCTTACAACACGCCGCTGCCGGGAATGATCCTTTCGGTCGGCTTCGGCCGATCGTTTGAGCGGAGGATACACGTTACTTTGAGCTTTCAGCTGTCGAGAATGCTCCGATTTCGCATCTCGGTTCCGGCTCGCTCGAATGCCGCACATTCAACATACGAGTGTACGACTCTTTCGATCGAATATACTTAATTGCACAACGATTTATATAATTGTGCAATTATACAGTGATTTGCAATTTTGCAATAAATGAAGCAAATAGAAAGGAAGCTAAAGGAACAACTCAGAGAGAGAGAGAGAGAGAGAGAGCGAAGGAGAGAGAGTACTTAGAAATCGCGCTCATTATTTTACATAACGACATCTTGGCGACTCGGCCGGGATCGGTTGTTCTTTTAACCTTGTTTTATAATTAATTCTGCCTCATTGTTGCGCAATCGCATCGATCATCATTTCGCACGATTACGTGGAAGGACTGAACACACCGCGACTGGCTGAACGCAGAGCTGTGCGAAACAAGAGGCTCTGGTCTCTCGACTCCATTTTCGCTCAATACAATCCCATGTAATCCTGTACTTCGTTTGATCGCGATGGGAATTATTGCGGACGTTTGCCGGCGGTGCGCCGTGCGCTTTCCTCTCTCGCCTCCGTCTCGTAGTTACTCCTCATTTGAGACAATTTAACCGCATACAGGCCCTGACAGCCCCGTTTAGCTCTCGCTGAACGCGGTTTCAGCTAAAACACACCTCACCGATGTTTCTTGTTGCGTCAGGTTGCAGTCTCGTTAAAATCCCTGAGATCGCACGGAGTCCAACGATTTCACCGCGCACAGTTCCTGAAACATAAAAAATCACTTCGAGGAACACGCCGCATTTGGCGGGTCGATCCTTCTGCGCCCGGCTCTAATTTCCTCGACATCCTCCCGTGGTTCAGCATTCGTTCAGTTTTAGCTTCGCTCAGGATACCATTAATATACAGATCCACGCGAAAAGATCCCTTTGGAACTTCACGTGTTTCTCTTCATGTTTATTTACCCCTCGCATCTTTCCTTAAACTCAAGTTATACCCTTCAGGGACAACTCCCCCCCCCCCCCGTAGAGAGAGAATACAAATTTTGAGAAACCAGCCAAGAATGCAACGCAAGTCTTGGGACGAAGAAACTAGCTAGCCTTTTTTATCTTGAAAAAGACCCTTGTTTTGTCTCTCTCTCTCTCTCTCTCTCTCTCTCTCTCTCTCTCTCTCTCTCTCTCTCTCTCTGAGCGGAATAAACGGATAAATGAACGGAACAAAAAGCCAACGCTGTTTGATCGCGCGAAAAGGGTTAAGCTCTAACAAGGGACGTTCCCGAGTTCACGGATAAGCCGCTCCCGCAGGATCGTTCCTGAAGACGACTCTGCCATAGCGCTACGCCAGAAAAAGAGAGAGAGAGAGAGAGAGAGAGAGAGAGAGAGAGAGAGAGAGAGAGAGAGAGGAAGGAAGAGGAAGAGAGTGAGGCGGAGGGAGGGGTGGCGGGAGGAAGGGGGAGGGAGAGACGTTCTCCCGGCGAGTGATAATGTATCCTCGGGGGGAGGGCTGTTGCCGAGTTCGCTGTCTACTCGAGGCGGAATTACTCTAAAAGTAGGTAGCCACCGGTCTCGCCGCCAATTACGCCGGGGCGACTACGACTATATAGAAGAGCCACGCCGACTCCGCCGGCTGATTTCTGCGAGTAGACCCGACGCGAGCATCCGCGCACATCTCGCCGCACGAGCAGCCATGAGACTACCAGTGAGTGCTCGGGATATCCCTCGCGAATGTCCTCTCGGGACCGAACGACTCCGTCGTCTCCGTTGAAGCAGTGACGAGAGATCTTCCGCTTCTGTAACGTGTAACGTCGGATACAATTTAACCTGCGTTGGCGCGATGTGTGACAGTCAAGGGGTGGATGGTGCTCCCGTAGTTGCTGAAGCGTCCCGCCGACGCTCATTTCGACTTAGCGCGGCTCAGCTCCGAGTAACATATTCTCGCTGGGGAGAATTTCTTGTCTCCGCGCTTCCCCGTCGAAAGTCGAAAGGGACTCTCCTCTCTCGTGGTCCCTGCTCGTTCGCGACGCGTTTCGTGTCGTTTCCGCCGCGGTAGCAGTACGAGCGTTTTTCTCGTCGTTTCTCATTTGACAAGCCGACGGTGCGGTGGTTGCAACGTCGGCAACGGGGAGACGATGCCGATGCGATCGACTGACAATTATGATTCGCTTGCAGATTCTCCTCGTCGCAGTGATGTCGGCCGCGTGGGCGGAGACGAGGAACGCGGAGAGGCCTGTTCGCGCGCCTCAAGGGCAAGTCAAGTACGGCGATATTGACGGTGAGTGTGCAGTTGCTCGGAGCCCCGGTGTAGGCGTGGTGGTAAAACACGAAGCTGGGAAACCTCGACTCCGCCGTAGCGCGACTAATCGTAGTTGTTGCGTAGTCTCGCGACGGTCTCGGTTTTCACATCCCCTGCGGACCCGATTCCTTTGTGACGGCCGAAGGACGGCGTTGCGCAAGTTGCGCCGTTAATCAACGGACAGGCATTAATCGGCTCAGACAGTGACGGAGCGTTTCTTTCTCTCGGCGTTGCAGGCTCCAGGATCGACTGGAAGTACGTCGCGCCTCAGCAGCAATGGCGGCCGCACTTGGCGAACGCGCAGCGTCCTCAGCGCGCCGAGGGTGGCTCGCCCCATCGTCCCCGGCAAGCCCAGCGCGGCCAGCAACACGCCGCAGCTCCGGCGCAGCAAAGCCAGCCTCAGCAACTACTCCAGCCGGTACCGCAGTCGATCCAGAACCAGCAGTTCTACAGACCGTACTCGGCGGTGCCGAGCCACATCAAGCAGCTGATCGAGCAGAACTACCAGCCGCAGCCGCCCTACGTCGACCCCACGTCCTTCTTCTACAGCTCCACCTACGTAGCGCCCCAGCAGCACGAGCAGCAGCAGCCGGCTCCGGCCGCTTCCGAGCTGCCTCGCGCGGCCTACCTGCAGCCCTCGGCGAGATACCAGTCGATCGATCAGCGAAGAGCGCAGCCCAGGTTCGACTACAGCGTCGACAAGAGGGTGGAGCGTCAGGACCAAGTCGTCTACAAGGACAATTACGAGCAACAGCAGCATCAGCTAGCGCAGCAGCAGCAGCAGCAACTAGCGCAGCAGCAGCAGCAGCAGCAGCAACACCCGCTGGCGCTATCAGCAAACACCGTGCCGGAGCCTCCGCTGCCGACGATTTATCTCGACAGGAACATGCCGTCGGAGCTGAAGCAGCTGCTGCAGTTCCAGGCGCAGATCCCGTACGACGTGACGGCCAATCGCATCCAGTACACACCCAAGAGCATCTTCATCCCGAAGCCGTTGTCCGACGACGTGAAGGGGCCGTATTACTATCGCAGCAAAGTCTACTATATGGACGAGGTGGACGCCGAAGAGGAGCAGCAGCAGAGCAAGCCGGCCGACGAGGAACAGCGCCATTGATAGACATGACTATGTAATAATACGCGCGGTTTATGTAGATTAATAATCTCTCTCTCTCTCTCTCTCTCTCTCTCTCCCTCTCTCTCTCCCTCTCCCTCTCTCTCTCTCTCTCTGTTTCTCTCTCTCTCTCTCTCTCTCTCTCTCTCTCTCTCTCTTCCGGCAAACTTTACGAAGAGAGACGACTGGTTCAGGATTCTGCGACTCGCTCGGGCCGAGCGCTATTTTCGCGAGCGGAAGTCGCGCCCTCAGCTCTCAAGCGTCACCACAGCCGAGACGAGCGTCTCGTGCGCCTTAAATTATTACAGCGCTTGTTAACGTACTTCAATAACGTAGATATGTTTTGTGTTAGCGTAGTACTTGATAGGAACGCGTTGCTAACTATTAAGGGAGCGCTCTGCCGCTCGTCGTGCTGAAAAGGACGGAGAAGATCGATCGAACGGGGGGAATCGATCGAAGAAACGTTCAGTCGGGAAATTCACGGGGTGAAGATTCCCTCGAGGAAGCACTTTCACGTTAGCGGGGGATGCACTTCGGGGGAGGAAGGGAAGGAGAGAAGCTGCGAATGTGCGACCCGACGAATGTTTCCCGCTCGATCGATCTTCTACTTTGCCGAATCGCGCTCGCTCGCGGTTCTTCGTGCGTCTAGAGGCGGGAGGAATAGTTAAGTATGCGGCAACGCGAAGAATGTATCTCCAGTTTTTTATACGAAATAAATCGTTTTCGCTTCTCGCATCAAGGCGGTCATTCACCTCGCCGTCGCGCGAACTTCTCGTTGTCGTTATTTCAGCTCGCGGAACCGCCGGAACTTCCGCTCGTAAACGGCGGGTTTGAGCGTGCCAGGGAAACGCGCGATAAAGTCGCGCGCAGGTTCGTAACGCAGGTTTCCGCCTTTCAGAAAGGAGTTTTTCGTGATTTGCTTAATTACACTCGATAGTTAGCGAGTCCGACGTTACTGGAACAAATAGAAAGCCGGGCGGTTTTTCGCTTTCCATTGAATAAAGATATCTGATGATATGAGACAGAGCGGAGAAAGTGATACTTCCAGCCTCGCGAGCGGAGATGCACGATTCGTCGCGAGAAGAATAACGGCCGAAGCGTCAGGATTTCGCACGACTATAGATCGATGGCAATATCGCATAAAAAGGAAAGCGGTTTCTCGTCGGATCGCAAGCTACGTGCAGGGAGAACATTTCTGCGAGACGTCGCGACGCGACGTGAGAACGGAGAAACATAGCCCTTGTAACACGTAACATTTGTTAACGAACTTTACGCGCTTTCATTAGAAAGGGACTGACTGCTTGTGTCGAGATCGCGAAGATAAGTCAGCGCGCGACATTAGAAAGCACGATTCGATCGAGCGGATTTCGTCATCGACGCATGACGATGCAAGGTGAAGTGCTTATCGGCCGAAGATCTGCGGCTGCTCAGACTCGAAGAAGCGTATCGCCTTACCGTGTGTCTCCTCCTTTTCCTCCTCCCTGCAGATTTCACATGGAAATGAGCCCTCGACGGCGGGGAAAGCATTTCTCCGGATCAGGAAGACGGACGGTCTACTTTCGTGGCCTTCACGCTTCGCGTATCGATGCGGCCGTCGCGGCGTTGCAATTGTGAACGTTGCTGGCGTTCATTTCGCCGTCGACGGCACAACTTTCATTTTTACTGCTTACCGGCGCTTGCACAAATAGATAATGCGCCCGGGGCACGCCCCTCAGGCTCGCCGATCTTGCCCGAGGAGATTGAGGAAAATTACAGACATAGCCGAGACTCCGCTATGGCTGACTGACATGGCAAATCCGTGTATCTTGATAAATTAATTTATCGCTCGTCATCTCGGAGGTTATCCACGCGATTGCGAAAGACGATTAAAAGTTATTTATTGGCGGTGCTATCGTAAAATACTTTTGGTTTTATTGCGAGGGAAAATGCGTCCTGAATTTTTATCATCTCTCCTCCGCACTGCATTCTTGATTTTAAATGTTTTAGGAATTGCAAATTTCTATTTCCGCAACAGTCTTATAATTCTTGTCTCGTGTCGAATTTTCCGCAGGGAAAAAGCTTCGAATTTTGTTCAAAGTTTAGGAAAAAATATATAACAGAAACACACAGAATAAATGTAAAAAGAGAAGCGTGTGTATGAGAAGCAAGAAACTATAATAAATCGTGTTTATATTTAGTCACATATTGTTTTTCCTGGATACAATATTTGTTTAAAACAATAATATTCACTCGCGTCTGTGCTTCGACATTGAACGCGCGTTTTTGTATTCTCGCTCAAAGCGGCGAGGAATCGGCCGCTGATACAACGCGCGTTCCTCGTGAATCATCCTGTACACGTCCCACGTTTTTATTCATTGGGTATTATTGCCTCTTATAGCTAGTTGCATCCTGCAGTAGTAGGAATTATTTTCACATGTCGACGCAAGCAAGCCTTGGGATAATCTGCAATTTCACGGGAGATCGGCAATCCATCTGCGATGTAATGCGACACGCTGTGACTTTCTACGATGAAATGACGTAACGGCATTTCCACTTGCGAGTACGAGACTTGACGGTCGAATAAATAAATCAAGCGGACGTACATTTCCGCGGCTAACTTATCTAGTATCGAGCGTCTCACACACAAAGATTTTACAAGTGAAGTCATCTGAACCATCGGCGGCGATTCGACACGAGCCGGAGATTATAATTTCATTGCAAAATTGGAAATTTGTAATTTCTGAAATATGTGGAGTCGAGAATGCAGCGTGAGAAATGACGTAGATTTAGAACACATTTTTCCTTCGCAATGAAGTATCGCCATATAATATCACCAATGACTAGCTTTTAATTACGTTCTAGCCGTGCACGCACAATTTATAAATCGATCTTGCATCGATATTGCAATAAGTAACTCGCAAATCGTTTTCTCGCTCCGTCTCCCAAGAGGCATCGATAGCTCAAGTCGCGATGTTATCTTCAATGTTTCAATTACAAAGGCGGCGAATCAATTACAAAGCGTACGTCCTTACGTAACTCGACAGGACAATGATTGAATTCAATGTCGGCGATTAATCACGGATGCGCGCGGTCGTCGCACCTGTAACCTTTGAATGGCGATCGCCTGGGAAACTTCGCACTGCGTCGCATTCCACTGCAGCTGCACCGCCGTTTTCTATCGGTGCACTCGAGGCTTTTCGCGTTTGTAATGCATCGCGTGGGAGGATAAATGCCTCGCACGCGGCGCGAAGAAAGCTCGACTGCCCGAGTCAGCCTGAACGCGAGTTGCATTCGCAAACAGATGCACCTTTTTATGCATCGCTCACTAAAATTAATATACTCGCTAAAAAAGAGACGAAGCCTTTCGCTACAAGGGCAAAAAATTACGTTAATCATTTACTTTGATTATTTAATTTGATGTAATTTTTACGTTAAGTATTTCTGAAAAATTACCTCGCGCAAGAGTCAATTAATTAACACGTACCCAAGAGACGTTCCCGAGTGTAACATTGTACGGAAAAATCACAACGAGTACGCGGCGAAACATCGCGTTACTCGGATAAAAAATGCCTGTTGCGTAAGTCTATAGAATTTGACATTGGACCACCTTCGAGGTGGTGTCTCGCAAGAAGCAGGTGAGTGGAAGATTCATAAAGGGATCGGGCGTCTGCATGGAGCATTCGCTGCGAGACATTTCCTCCAAGCGGACTCGCGCTTGCAGCAAAGATCACCGACTGCCGGGCCGCGGTGTCGGCCGGCCGGCCGGCCGGCCGTCGAGGTACAACATGGAGGTGGTTCTCGTCGAATCACATCCCCGTCGCCGAAAGGCCCCTTTTACGTGGCCGCCTATAAAGTTGTTCTGGTGACCGCGCGCCCGCTTCAGAAACACTCCACCCTCGAACGAATCGACTAGCTTGCTCGCCATGAAATTGCACGTAAGTACACCGCCGCGCGTTTCGCCCGTCCGCGCGAGTGTCCTCGCGTTCGCGCAGCGCTTGCGAGAAACGGATGCGCAAAAGTCGCGTGCGCTCTGAATCGCGCTCTGCATATGCCGGCGGCACGCGGATTATAAATCGCGAGTCTGTTCTGAATACGTTCGTTACCAGCGAGAGCGCTTGCGACGGCGCTTGTAATTTAGTTAATTTAAAGTTCTCCCTGAAATCGTTTCCCCTCGTTTAATCATCACATCGAAAGTCGCCGTCGGTTCAATGGCCGTCTTTCGTTGCGCCGGTATGCTTCCTGCGATGTGCGCGATCGTCTCGCGCGCCTTGTCGAGAGCCAAGAAAAACACGCGGAACGACGCTGCGGAAGAGTCGCGCGCGCTTTAATCGCGATGCGAGTTTCGCACGGATTCCGGGATTTCCGCGAATTCCCTCGCACTCTCCCGCCCGTCTGCCAATTATCTCTGCCTCCAACAAAGAAGCCAGATGGAGGAATCATGCGTCGCAACAGCACGAGGTTAGGGATTCTTCTTTCAAACGGCCTCGATCGTTCCGAACTTCGGCATTTCGAGGCAAAACTCGGCGGTATCCCCAAATTGCTTCGTCTTGAAACGTTCATTGGCCGCTTACCGATTTTGCGCCGTGAGATCCGAGACGAGAACGCGCCGTTGTGGGTTTCATTCGCGGGGAATTCTAGGAAACAGGAAATCACTCGTTTGATCGGAGATACCGCTTTCCGCCGAGAGGTGAACCAGCGCGCGTGCTAGAGAGTGCCGAGTGTCGTTCGCTTAATTGCTACGTGTTGCTTGTCGCATAACAGGCGACGATTCGGAATGCCGTTTAAGTCACCACGGTCACTGGCCGAGAGTGCGTTTCGCGGCCTAATTACCGAATGCGGATACGAGCAATCAGGATTTCGTAATCCAGTCGCAAGCTCAGCAGTTGGAATTCCAACGTGGAAAGTATCCTTGCATTTTCGATCTGCTTCGCTGATCGTCCGCCAGATATTACTTTCTTTTCACGCACGCACAAGTCGAGCCATCAATGAAACGCCGAGGCGAGATATCCCTATAAGTCAGCTGATAAGCGCAAGCATTCTCTACTGGACATAGTATATTAAAATATTCGTCCGTTGTAAATTTTGCATCTTACTTCCGGACGATCAGATTGCTTTGTATCTTAACTACGACACTAGCTTGCTCGTCTCACGATGACTACTGCTGGTAGTTGTCACTTCTTCATCGCTAATGTTACACCACGCTTGATCTCTCACACTCCTCGCATTTTACTCGCATTCTGCTTCTCATGGCGTATCGCGCGAAATGTCGCGCCCGGGTTCCGCGTTTCGATGATAAAGCCGAGATAAAAGCCGCGCAGAGCTCGTCGCTGGCATAATCGCTCCGCGGCGATATTTCCCGCGTCCCATGCGGCAGCAGCGGTCGGAAACGTTCCCGAGGCGAGTGCCAGCCGCCGCCCTCCCCTCCCCTCCTCCGCGCGAGACTTTTTCCCGAATAATCGCCCCGGCGTGTCTCGGCGATTAATTTATATCTCACTTTCTACCGGGTCGACGTCGTGCAGCGCGCCGGGCGAGTTCGATCTCCTCCGTTATTACGAGAGAACCCCGCACACGTTTCGCTCCTTTTTTCTGCTCTCGCACCGACTTTTTACCTCGTGGCGGCGGCGGCGGCGGCGGCGGCGGCCGAACACGCCTCGCTATCGCTAAGCGCCAACGTGCTCACCTTTTCCCGATAACCGACACTACCGGCTGATTAAAGATTCATGCCGCTCGTGACTTTCCCTTTCAGCCGGTGCCGGTTGCACGATATGCTTCCATATATAGTGCAACATAGTGCGTGCCGTGAAACAACTTCGGGTCCAGCACCGCGTGCGTTAGATAATGAACCGCGAGTCTGATTACGAAATCGAGCGGACTCGACGTCGCGCGCGAGCGACGACAGATTCCGGGGCGTAATTGATTATTCTAATTAATGCGCTCGTCACAACTTGTCAAAGTTGTACGCACAATCGATGCGTAATTTTATTCATCTCCTTTCCCTTTCGCCCGCGCGTGCGATTATTTAATCCGCCGCTTAATGACGACCGTTTCCGTCACATCAATCACAGCCGGTCACCGCAGAGCACCGGTTTCATGATGTCGGATTAAGATGCGTATCGATCGAGCATGCGTAGAAAGCCGCGTAGAATCATCGAAAGGCCGCGATGTTGCAGGTTTTGTTCCTGACGGCACTTCCCATGTGCCTGGGTCAATTTTCAATCCAAGGACCCAGCGACGGCAATCGACGGGCCCAGGGCCTTAAATTCAGCGAGGAGAAAGGAATCGAGTACACCGATCAGAGCGGTAAGTGCCAGCGATGAGACTCGGACTCGGAGGACGAAGACGAACGGTGGCGAGGGGGCAGTACGCAGTCGACCTTGAAAGATTTCATTCGCGCCAGTCTTCTCGTACGACTCCAATGTTGCTCGCATCCAAACACTTTGCGAAACTAGACGAACGCTGTCGAGAATCAGTCTCCCCGTGTTCTGTTCCTTGCACGTTCCCATCGCAGCGTATTGCGTTCTGCCGATTTCCAGAATCAGAAGGGGCCGGGGACTTCACCATTCAAGGCGCTACCGACGGCAACAGCAACTTCCGCATCCAGGGTGCCACAGACGGCCACTCGAACTTCCAGATTCAGGGTCCCTCGGACGGTGGTGCGGCTACCTTCAACATACAGGGGCCGACCGACGGTCACAGCCAATCCATAATCCAAGGAGCGTACGACCCCAACCAAGGCAACGCCAAGGCGCTCGAGTACAACGATCCCAGCGGTACTGTCGCCAGCGTGTTGCCTCGTCCACCTCTCATTCTGCCCGCTTCGTCTAACAAAAGTGTCTACCGAAAGGTTACAGGGTGAACTGGAGGTCGTACGAGCGCCAACCGCGGCCGGCGACGTACGCGGAGCCGCAGTACGCGGCGCAGGCCGCGGCGCCGGTCCGGCAAGCCGGGCACCGGCGAGCACCCCCGCCGCAACCGCAACAGCAACAGGCACCTGAACCTGCGCCGCAGTACAAGCATTACGCTAACGCGCCGCCGCAGATCCAGCAACTGCTCCAGTTCCAGCAGCAGATCCCGTACCTCAACGTGATCCCGGAACAATACAGGTAACAGACAACAAGTTGTGGCTTCCCCAGCTCTGTCTTGTTTCGTAATATTTGTTCCATTAATCTCGCGGACTTCTCCTCGTCTCGGAAGCCTTGAAGACGAGACCTCAAGACCATCTGTACTCATACACTCTTTTCGTTGGTCACAAGTCGTGCTGTCTTCGTCTAGCTGGAGGCAAAGCTGAGGCAATACACGAGACGCGCTTTTCTCAGATGTGGAGCGCGTTCATATTCTATATTTATTTCTTCTTTATATGTTTTTATGTAATTTTGATTGATACTTTTGATATCGTCACATCCGTTGCATCTTGTTTTATATGATTCTTTTTATTTACATATTTGTCCGATTCTCCGCCAACGATATCTCTCGTTCGTCGGAGTGAATTATAACGACGTTTCTATGGAAATTCCTCCATCTGTCATGCAAATTCAAAAAATTGGGTAGTTTCAACCGGCGACCTATTCTCAGATTCGACGAACAGGCTGCGATACAGGCTCAGACTGAGCAGGTCCGGGAGCACTTCCGCAACTTGAAGGTCCAACCGCCACCTGGTTCGGCGCCGCCGCCGCCACCGCCCGCCGCGCCCGCACCGGAACCACGTCACCGAGCGCGCGGTCCCTCCAGGCATAAGCGCGAGGCGAGTCCTCAGCAGCAGCAGCAGCAGCACCGCAGGATATCCCAGCCGCCGGCAGAGCCGCAGCCGCACTACTCGACCAATCTGCCGCGAGAGCTGCAGGAGCTGCTCAAGTTCCAAGCTCAAACGCCCTACAACATCTTCGCCAATCAAGTCTCATATCGCGGGCCCGACAAACCTTACGTGCCGCAGTCCGTGAATCCACCGCAGCAGCAGCTGGTGCAGAAGGCGCAGTATCAAGGTCAGGGTGGCGCGTACCAGGCCCAGGCGAGCGCCTACACGCAGGCTCGCGTGGCCGGCTACAACCAGGGCCCGCAGCTCGGCTACAATCAGCAGCAGCAGCAGCAGCCTGCTGGCGTACGACCCGTGACCGAGAATCAGTACTGATCGACCGCCAGGGTGCCGCTATTTTGTTACGCCTTCCGTTTCTTTCGCGCTCGGAGCGAGCCTCCATTCCGGCAGGGCCGAGTGTTTCAACGAGTCTTGCTACTGAGTTAATTATACCTAATTTATATCTATCTCCGTTCATCTATCTATCTACATCTATCTGTCCGTCTATCTATCTATCCACTCATCTAACGAAGCAAGGTTTGGTTTCACACCGAACGAGACGAGATCGATCATGTTATCAGAGGAGGTTACAAATAACGGCTGCGCGACGAGTGCAGAGTTTCCCGGGAAACGCTTCGAGATTTCTCTTCTTCACTCCGCTCGATCCTGCTGGAGTAGAGACGACGGGGGAGCGACGGTCTGTGTATTCAGTGCAACCCGCGGGTACTCGTTAAGTAATAGATATTTTAGTAATTAGACGTTTATACACGATGCGGTAATTACTCGCGCTGCACTCGAGTCTGTCTCAGCGTGCGGTCGGTTCAATATTCGTAATACTGTGAAAGAAATAAAAACAGATCCACTTTTCTCATTTCACATGCCCAACTCGTCGAAGCGATATTTCGTTCGGGATTGTGTTCCGATCATTTCGTTGGTTCCGAGTTTCTATTCGATCGCCGGAGAACATCTCACGCCGTTTGCCGGCGTGAAACGCGTACTCGAGAAAGTATATTCCTCTCGCCGTGAGATTTCCCGTGTGCGATCGAAAGTTAATAACCGAGTTTAAGCGCGCGCGCGCCCGCCAGGCCGTTCGGGAATTGGGATTTTTCTCGCTCGCGATTCTTGCGCAGCGCAACGTCGGAAAGAGACGAGAGTCAACAGTTGTAGCACTCGCCACGCGAACGCACCGTCGGTACTCGTGCGAATCCGGACATGCGTGCGCACAGTGCGGACGTAATACCGTAAGTTCGACTGCCTTTTACAGTTTCGTTTTGTACCTACACGTTTTTCCAAATAAAATAAATTTGCGAGTGTATCCCCTGCCGCTTGTGGCCGTCCCCATCAGAATTCGGATTTGCCGATTTGCATCTCATATAATTTCTCGCGTGTCGCTCAAAACTGATCGAAGTGGCTAGATTGCGTTTCCGACGCTTTCGGAATAACGTAAGTCGCAGTTGCGCGAAGTTGTCAACTCCTCAGAGAAATTGCCGCTAGACTCGTCAAGGAGATCGTCTCTCACTTGTCCCTCGATATTCCGGTCATGCAAATGCACAAATTGTACGAATCGCAAGTTATTCGCGCGCGCGCGCGCGCTCTCTCAATCGGGCTCGATCGAATTCCGAGCGGAATTTAATCTATTCATCTCGCGAGCGATCAAGAATAGCGCCGCTAAATATAGCGGCGAGTACACTCGCGGCATTGGGGCGAATTCAGAATGTCGCGGGAGGAATGCAGAAATTCCTTGCGCAATCGTGCCGCATAAATATATGCACGCGATCGGCGATAGAGCCGGGTAATCGCGCCGTTCCCACGTGCGGGATCTCACTCGCCCATTAAATTCAACGGCGTTTCGTCGCACGTCGAATACGTTATTATACGTTATTAGTTACTTACGCGAAAGGGAACAGTTCTTTACGCAAACCTTGATCAATCCCTCGCGACTCGGTGACGTCAGAGCGACCGACCGCGCGCGTCCGTTTACGCGCGTATATTCTTTTACGTCCGTTAAAATGATAAACGGGGCTTCGTCCGTCGAAACGCCGCAGCGTTCGAAAATCAATGCGATGTGGGCTTGAGTTAATTTCAATACACGTGGCCGCCATAAATTTCAACTTCACGTCACGGTGACGCGACATGCGACGCTGCCGCGTTCTGCCGCAGCGACGCACTTAAACGGTTCGCTCGAATTACGAAGCAACGTGCCGGTTGGTTCGCGAACGAATACGGAAGCCGCGTGTGCATACGTTTCCTGCATCAGCCGGCCTCACCGTTACGTGATTGGATACGGTGTATCTGTTTCTCGGTGTGTGTGTGTGTGTGTGTGTGTGTATGCGTGTATCGCCCTTTCTATTATAGCGATATCTATTAGCGTGCACCTTCGCGCGCGGAATGCCACGTTTCTATCGCGGACTCGGCGAGTAAGCGATACGCGCCTGCATATGCACGCCCGCGGGCTACAACTACGAGGCTAATAGCCCTCTAAGATAACGCTCCGTTGCATTTACGATGCAGCACGAAGAATATTAACAAAGTACAGTTTGCGATTGCGTTTCCCGAAAGACACAGCACGATAGGATAATTGCGATCGTCTGTCAATCATAAAATAAAAATCTCGAGCCGAGGCATCGGGTTTTAAAAGCCGGCCCTAAAATCTCTCTAGTGTGTTTTCAAATATAATAATGAATATGATAAAATGATATAAAAATAATTGTAGAGTTGAAAAGGTATTCGGGCAGATCACCAACTGTATAATAATATGAGAATATAACAATACGATAACATAATATAAAAGTAATTGTAGGGTTGAAAAGGTATTCGAGCATATCGCCAACTGTAATAATATGAGAATGTAAAATAGAAATTTTTTTACACGATAATATAAAATAATTGTGAGCGTAACGATGATATGAAGAAAAGTGATCACGTTTAAGCGGAGAGTTTCAGCGTAAGAACAATGGAATGTAATAATAGCGCCACGTCTGAATTGAACGACCGAGAAGAGAAACGTGAGACGAAGAATTTTCACATACGTGACTTAGATCACAGATGACACAATATTTACGATACGGCGTTCTTGGTGCGTTCTCCGTAATCGGCAGCGCAGAAAATAGCGCCAAGAAATTACGACGATAAAATTCGAGACTCGACGCAGTCGTAATGAAAATGGAGGAGGAAAGGGAGAAGACGGTCGAGCCACTTTCACGTAACGATATCGCCGTAATCTACGGTGTAATACGAAATTACATAAACGATCCGATACGATCTTGAATTAGATCTTATTATTCGCGATTGATATCTTCTCGTATACTTGATATTCCGCGCTGTTACGCAGATTCTCATAGCTGCGATCGGATCCGCCGCTACGCTCACGCTACGAACAATAAAAATGCTTCCTAGGCGAGTCTACACGCAAAGAGAATTGTTCAGGAAGCTATTCGCATTCCTATACTGAGAAAATATCATATCAACTTGTCCGGTTGGGTTACTCACGTTATTATTCGAAACATTTGAAGGCAAAGCTATTTTATATTCGATATAAATTTTCACAGCCGCACAGTCAAAAGTTGTCTGGAATGCAGTCGAGGACTTGCTTTCCGGACATTTTCCAGAAACAAGGGAAAATAATTAACCCGTTTTGAAGCCCAACGCTCTTTGGTACGAACATACCTCAGTTACGAAATACTGAGCGTATCATTAGATAAAAACTTTGCCTGTGCGGAATCGACTTATTAAGAGCGCTGGCACACTCAAAAAAGATTTCTATTTGCAAAGTGATTTTTCCCACAGTCTCATATTCTAAGCGAAGCCTTTTACAGAAAAAGGATTAAAGTGATTAAAGTGAACTATTCATCTAAAATTTATTAGATATTATTTTAACTGTTTCCCTCTTATTTCAAGAGGATTTCTTCTTATATCAATTAATTTCCCTCTTATATGAAGAGGAATATGTTGATTTGAATGTCGGCCTCTTTTGTTCAGTCATTCTCTACTCCAGACACGAACGAAAAAATAACTACATGCTCATGGATCAGAATATTTGGAATGCTTTTTAGAAAAGGTATGTGTATCGCTGTAACATATAACAAAGATAATTTACCCATATTTGGCCAAATACAGTTTATAATCTATTTCGAGAAGTTGAATAATATATTTTTTCTTTTAACTATGTTTCATACAGTTAGTTATAATCAACATCTTTGCAGCTATGAAGTCCGTAACAAAACTGATTGGAAATTTATCTGTTATGATGATCTCATTTCATCCGTGCATGCTTATTGTAAAACCGGAGCCAGAAGTACATTTATTATATATATTACTTTTCGCTATACGTTATAATAATTTGTTCACATTAACCAGTATAACCAGTAAGAATAAAGTACAGTAAGAATAAATAATAATCTTTTAAAAACAAAGATTAAATAATCTGTGTATAAGAGGAAATTTATATTAAAATCAATAAAATGTACATTGCACATATATCGTATAATCCTTCTAATCTTGAGAATAATGTGTTTATGATATTTTCCTCTTGATCTTGAAGGAATCCTCTTGAGGCCATATATAAGAATAAAACCCTCTAAAATTTAAACGATTCCGCTCGTTCGGAAATTACTTTTTCTCCGGGTGCTCAGTTGCGCAACGCTGAGTGTATCATTAGAAAAAAATGTTGCCCGTGCGGAATCGACTTATTAAGAGCGCTGGCTGAATTGTCCGACCGACGAATTCCGCGCATTCGTCAGCAGCGGTGTGCAACGTTATCCTGACGTAATCTGAAACTCAGTCGAGCGAAAGCTCGGGGCAAAATTCCCGTGTTCTTCGTAGTTCGCGAAAGCACCTCGCGCACGAAGGAGACAAACAGAGTCGCGTTCTGACTTTTCTCGTGCAGCCGCCGGTCACTTCCTGGCTCGCCTCTGTTGCGGCGACATGGCGCGGGACGCATTGGTTCGTTGCGTTGGGTTACGTGACGACGGGCGGGAGACTTGCACGCGAAAAAATCGCTCGAAACCCGACCAACCGTGAAAGCTGGTGGTGGCCGACGACGTGGTTGAGCCGCGACGGCTGGGTCCATATAGAAGTGCATCGCGACGCGGCCGCCAGTTTTGTCCCGCCGCCCTCCGGATATCATCGTTCAGCATCATGAGATTCCTCGTAAGTCCTCGCGACCGTGATCGGCCGGTCGATCGATCGATCGATCGAACGCGACCCTGAGAGTCCCGCGAAATTTCACGGGGAGAAAGTGCGATTAGAGCCGTTCCGCGGAATCGCGTCGATGTTCGAGCGAGTGCTCTCTTTTGCTTTCCAATCCCGAGCTGATCGTAAAACAGCCGTCAATTTGTCCCGTGCATGTAATCGAGAAAAAGGAAACAGCACGCTCGCCGGGCGTGGATTGCCCTGTAAAAAAGTCGCATGCTGAGAGTATCCGAGTAGCGGATGTAAAGCGTTGAAAATGTAACACACGCGTGATATAGGCGCGCTCTTTCTTCCGCGAGGAAATGCCTTCTCCTGCCTTGTTCCTGCGAGAATTCGTGCCTTCGCGAGAATATCGACCTGCTCCGAATTATCGTGGCGATAAAAGCAACACCTAAGAACAAAGGTCTACCGAATTTGCTATTGTTCTTTCGATCCATATTGATTCTCTTTTGTCTGCGAATGCGGTCTTTCCTTTGAGAATGTTTCCGCCCTTCCCGAATTCGTGGCTCCTCCTATGCTCCATACGAAGAAAGATGAACCGTTAGATCCGACGTGCGGTCTGAAATCGCACGTCGTAAAAGCCATTAGTTTAGCTTCACCTCGCTGGAGAAACGAACCTGCCGTGAAATCATCTGCGTCTGTTCTTTTATTGCTTTATCAAGGGTCGTTACGAATTATTGTAGATGAAGGACGCTTAGAAAATGTCACCTTGTACGAATGAAGCTTATCACCGCGCGCTCGCGAATTTTTCGAGCGCATTATTGATCGTAATTTTTCAACTCAACTCGTTCGCTCTTACATGCTGATATTTTCATGACAACCATATTGCATATCACTGTACATATTGTGTACATGAAGGATCGTACGCTTTCTCCCGATTTCTATCGACAGCATTTACACGAGAAAAATGCGTTCTTCTTTATCAGGGCGTGAAAGCCTTGATATGTTGTCAATAATATCTCTTTATCCTGTTTCAGTTCTTGATACTCGTCGTGGCGCCCGTGCTAGGGACGGAACTCCACAGTGAGTAACGGCGCATTCAGTGCAACATTTCATTGCAACGCGCGACTTTTCCTTTCACAAGCGTCGCACGAGAAACTCTACTACTTTCCGATTTCGACGACATTCGCCGTCGAATAACGACCAGGTCGTCATCCTTCTCTCAATCGCTTTCCGCAGGTCACATTCGTGTACGGCGGCAACACGGGAACGTGCGATCTCTGAGTCAAGCGCCCGCCGCGATCAAGCAGATCCTGGCGTCTCAGCTGGCTCGCGACCCGATCGTCCATCTTCCGCCGCAGCCAGTGCCGAATCTCTCGCTCTCCAAGCCCATTGAGCCTCAGTACGTGACCCAGGCCCAGCTGTCTCAATATCGGCCGCAAGTACAGATCGGCCAGCCACCTGAGCAGCCGACTTACAAGCAGATTCCCGTAAGACCGGCCCAGTACTCGCCGCCGGCCTCCGCTCAGCAGCCGCAGTACAATCCCCAGCCACAGCAGCAGCAGCCGCAGTACAATCCTCAGTACCGCAGCAATTATCAGCAGCCGCAGTCGCAGCAAGCCGCCCAGCCCAACTATCAGTACTCCAAGAACCTGCCGCCGCAGCTCCAGCAGCTCGTGCAGATCCAGCAGAATCTGCCCAACGCAATCCCGGCGGGACAGCATCAAGGCTAATCGTTCGTCAACAGATGTCAACGTCGAGTTCGTATCGTATGCGTCTCCGCGAGGTCATCGGTCGTGAGCATCCGCCATCGCATCGTTTCACTCATCGCTCGCCATCTCTGTAGTTGAGAAATTCATAATGCACTTGGGACGCCCTTCACAAGCGGGTAGCAGAATACGTTAGTGAAAATTTCGTCTGCACGAGTATTTTCTTTCCACGGAGTATGTCTGTTATAAATCACATCAAGGCGAATTAAAGATGTAAATTGATAGTCAAGTTGAAACAAAATTTCTCTCTCTCTCTCTCTCTCTCTCTCTCTCTCTCTCGTCTTCGTGAACAGGAAACAAATTTCCTTCTGTCTCATCCTTTTGCTCATCCAGCTGTAAAAAGAGTCGAACGTTTGAAAACATTTTATTTATGACACAATTTGTATTATCGCTTTCATTCAGCCATTTCACTTCATTTCCATTCACATGAGTCTATTCATTTCATACAAACGAATCACGAGGCCTTTCTCGTGCCGGTTTGTCAGTTTAACCGAATATGTATCGCCCGATGTAAAATGTCGAAAGACAGAGTTTGTTGCCACGAATAAATTGCCTCAAACTTGTTCGCGTTTCAACCCTCATTCCAGTGAGATTCACGACTGACCGTCGCAGTTCAAATTTCAAAAACACAATATAACATCCGTTTTAAATTAAGGCGTACGTTTGACGCTTCATCATGCACCCTTCTCTGCTCGCTTAATATATCGTTTGCATCCTCGCTTAATATTTCATCTACACAGCCGCCCGGGCAAATAGTGAGGAACGCGAGATCTCTCGCGGCGCGTGGCGAGCCGCAGGACGAGCTGCGTCCCAGGTTAGTCGGCCCGGGTTTGCAAGGCGAGCGCCCGACGTAGGCAGCAGACTGTTATCTCCCATCGCGATGCTTCTATTAGGCGAGTCTCTGTCGACAACATATTTCTCCGCGGACAAATACGGAGCATGCTCTCGCGCGACATAGCTCAGCCGAGAGAGAGAGAGAGAGAGAGAGAGAGAGAGAGAGAGAGAGATCCAAGGGTATCATCGCACCGATGGCTCCGCACAAGAGGCGTATCTGCACGTCATCACTCCGCCAGGACCGATCATTCCCTTCCTCCTCCTCCTCCTCCCTCCCCGGCACGTCATCCCCTTTCAAGCCGTGACGGTCCGCACGAATGCAGTCCTCGCTTCGCACACACCCCAGAGAGGCGCACGCACCGCAGTCACACCACCCTGTCCTACCCCGTCCCGGCGATTCTTACCTCCGTGCATCCCGTGAATGCGCGACCCCTCGCCGACAAACAGGGAAGAGGATTAGCGAGTCCATTAAAGTCGCGGACTCTATTATCCGGAGGGCACGGCCACGGTGACATCAACCGCCCGCCATTGGCGTAGACCACCTGGAAAGCTGGAGGCTGCGGACGAGCCCTTCGCTAATCTCGCGCATTCGCCGCGCGCATTTGCGAAGAAATATTTGTAAATTCGAGTTTGTCGTCTTAGACGGGAAGCGGCTAATTCTCGCGCGACTCTGAGCTTCTCATTTCGCTCAACAACGGCATTTCGTTTCCCTTTCAGAGACGTGCAACGATGATTATTTCAAGCGCTCATGTGCATCTCATTATTATCGTCTCGATCGCGAGACCTGTCCAGAGAGATGGTCTCGTTGAACGGTGGATTTATTCCGTTCAATCAACGTCATGAATTTTATGCTAATGTCCTCGCATTAATGACGCGGTCTTATCCTAATCGCAAAGAGGTGGAATAGATTTTACTGTAAGAGCGACACATGTCAATAGGCCAAAGAATCGCCCGAGAACGCCAGGTAAAATCTACTCGGAAAATCGACGCCATTGTAGAAAGGAGCGGGAAGCGGGAGGGGGGGGGGTCATAGAGGCAAATTACAAAGGGAGGATTACCGGCAGCTGGGCTACCAGGCAACCATCTCTCTCTCTTTTAGCTCGCGCTCGCGAGCAAGCGAGCCATCCATGTCGCTCGAGAGCTCTTTGTCCTTCGACGCATTGGTAACATAATTATCGGAGTTATAGCAAGCCAAAACTCAAGCCGCATCCAAGGGGGTGACGAGCGGTTAGGCGCTGCGACACCACGTGTACGCGCGCGCACGTGGAATGCGCCCGTCGCTTCGCGCGGCGCGGCGGCGACTCGCCGGCGAAGCTGCCGGGCCGAGTTTAACGATTTGACGGATTTGTTCTCGAAATATGTCCGGCGCTATGAATCGGAGATTGAAATTTAACGCCGCTCTCCACATTGCCGCGTACGCCTCGCGATATCGGACAGCGAATTGCTGTGGGAATTTTTCGCTTCGGAGGGATCGATTCAGGACGCGGTTCTTTTTCTAACGCTGCGAGTGCTTTGAGGCATTTTTTTTGTTGTTGATGATGAAGTTGGATGATTTCGTTACGTAGCTGGAATGCCTCGGGACATCTGAGCGGGGAGGTTGTCGTCAATTTTGAGGGAATATAAGACAGAGAGAGAGAGAGAGAGAGAGATATCTGGAAATCGAGGGATATCAGAGAGAAAGAGAGGAGGGATCTGACAATCCGGAGAACGGGAGCAAAACCTCCGCTTGCTTTCCTCGGGAGGAATTCGTAAGCGGTGTTTAATATTCAGAGGAGCGAGAATGTCGGTGGGGAAATTGCGACGGGAAAAAAGCCGTAACTACTCAGACTTTAACGGAGCCAGCTCGGCGCGACGCGGTCGAGAAAAGTGCAGCGCTCGGCAATTCATTCGTAGATATTTAGCGCACTTACTCCGCCCGGCTTTTGTGCGGCTAATCACAAGGCTAATGCGATATAAACGCGCCGCTCGTTCCGCCGCGCGTTTTTCGCTCGCGGATTTCGCAATCGCGCTATCGAGTGTCACGTTTCTTTCGCCGAGGCAGCGGGAGGGAAAAGAGAGAGGCGGTTGACTTTCGTGGCTTCGCAGTCGGCTGGAAATTAGCTACGTGTGAATACATAAATGCATAGATATTAGCTACACCAGAGTTCGAACGGTGTACAGGGTGTTTCAAGTTGCCTCGATTTTCAGTTATCCGCAACTTTTTCCACAGAATTTCCAAGCTAGATTTTTCACGATTCTTCGGAAGCGCTCGTTAAATTATGACAACGACGCGCGAGCTTTCACGAGCTTTCAAATTCCACAAATCGCGTACGAACGGCCGAAAGAAGGAGTCCCCATTCAACGCGAAATGGACCGTAAGCCGGGTTTATCGCGAGGAACCGCGCCGACATCAAAGGTCCAATATCGACGAGGAAAATCGTCTACACCCGGTATATCGAACATGTCGCGAATTCCGGCGATTAAGCAACACGCGATTAATGTTCCCTCGCTGAACATTAGACGCTATATCGCAGTCGGTTGCACCGCACGTTCAGTTACACGCGAGTCTCGTATTCATTCCACAGCGGGAGAGGAGAGGTTGATACCTCCAAAAGATAACGTACGGGTCACAGTGTCGTACGCAACTTTTACGCTCTTCGGAGAGCAAGAAATGTGTCATATTTCGCTCTTGTTCGTATCGTCTCGCTTTCGGCTGAAAATCCGTTCGAGATCGCCGGGCGAGAGCCGAAGGAAGCCACTCCATTTCTGCCGTACTTGAACTTGGCGTACGATCCGAATTTTCCGAGACGTCGCGAGCGGGCTAAGCTCTCGCCACACAGCCCGAACGTACATAAGGAGGCGTGTGAAACGGGTTGTGGTCTGCCGGAGTGATTCCAATAATTGCGCTTAATCCTTAGGGTGGCGGCACGCGGCCGGCAATCGCGGACGGGTCCCCCGTCCGATCGTGCCTCTTTATCATTCCGTACGCCGCCCAACCGCTCTCTCCCGCCGCCGGCTCACTCCAGATTCCCTTCAGGAGTGTTGACGATGATTACGGCGGGATTTATTTCAATAACAGAGGCGCCGCGTTTGTTACGAGCTCGGCACGCTCGGCCCAGCCGGAATATATTCCGCGTGTCACCAGCAACAGTCAAGGATACATCTCGCCGGACATGGCAGATTTTCATGGCTGGCGTATCTCCGTTACTTGCGATTACTCGACTCGTTTGGAATAAAAATATACAAATTGCACGTGAAGATGCGTGAAAATATGCAAACTGTAGGACATGAGACGGTACGTTTGAGCAATGGCCTTCCCTCGCCTTCAGGCTTCCTCGATTAAGCTGCTTCTCATTGATGATCAAGAGTCGCTCAGGCTAGTCCTTGTTTAGTGAGAGAATTTGCGGGAACGGTCGGGTTCGCGCTGTCAATCCTTTCGAATCGACGAACGACGTTGTCAGCCCGGATAATGAACAACGAGGCGCTCGCGTGTAGAGGAGCCTACGTGAGATTTTATTGGGCGACCTCGATCTCCGGCGAAGCCACTGACCCTGCTCCAGCTTCGTGATACCATTGTGAGAAGAAGCCAGACCGGAAAAATCCAGCATGGCTGGCTAGCGGTAGCGGCCAATCGCTGCACTCTTCATGACAGCTGCACATCCCTCGGCAGCGCGTTTTCTAATCGTCCCTCCTTGCAACCGAGCACGGTCTCTCGCCGGGGCCCTAACTTTCTGATTTTTGCCTTACGAAGTCAGCCATTGTGAAAGGAGCCCGCTCGCCCGAGTATCCAGCCGACGCGCGTCAGCCTTCGTGTGGTCTTAAGTCGCGTCGTCGTCGTCGTCGTCGTCGTCGTCGCCATAGCCTCACAACTGCCTGGCGCGCACACACATGTTTTTTAGCGTCTCAAATGCTGCCCGAAAATCCAAAGGGACGATCCTTTGAAAATCCACGTTTTGACGCGAGGAGAAAGAACATCTGCGAGAAACGGAGATGACGAGCTGTCACGTTGACGAGTTTACGTCGCGAAATAAGCGGGAATCTCGAGTCTGCGGCCACGGCTGATGCCGATTGTATCGTTAAAAGCCGCTGTATCGCTTTGATAATTGCTTCCGCAAATGCGTGCGAAATAATTACGGTAGAATGTCGCGATTAGCATACTGGACGTCTGCGGGAAAAGAAAAGGAAAAGAAACGCCACGACCGATCCAACCTGTCTATGCAGGAACAATATTCACTCCACCGGCACGCCGGTTCCACTTATGTAAGCCGTTACTGCACGCAATGACATAACGCGCGTGCGCTAGGCGCTAGTTTAATTTTCGCCGAGTCTGAAATATTTCATCACACACAGGCTCGCTCACGCGTGAGCGGCTGGCCTTTGGCACCTTAGTCCTTAACCGATAAGAGTGACAAGTAGATCCGCG